TGAAGGTTAATTGGGATGTGGCTAACAAAAAGGAAATACTGTGGATTAAATGGATCCACAATAAATACCTAAGGATCCTGCGTTTTGGGACTATAAACCGAAACATGATGACTGTCATTACTGGAAGCAGATGCTAGGGGTTCGTGACATCTTTAGTGGAATGCAAATTGACGACAGATTCACTATTAGCAAAGGATATTCGTGGCTCAGAGAGGAAAAACCAAAACCTGTGTGGTCAAAGTGGGTTTGGAACAGATCTACTCCTCCTAAGGTTAGTTTTATCTTTTGCCTGGCATGCCGGAGAAGGCTTTTAACCAAGGATCAAATAAAAAACTGGAGAGATATCGACACAACCTGCTGCCTTAGTGGGAGAGCTGAGGAAACACTGGAGCATCTCTTCGGGATGTGCCCTTTCACGGTGCAGGTTTGGGATGAAATTCAGAAGAAGCACGGAGTGAATTTGTCTGGCTGGAAGAAGTAGGTGATAACCTGATGAGAGTGGGGAACAAACAGGCGAAGTCCATGAGTTGTGCAATCTGGGCTATCTTCTTGTATGGTATGTGGAGAACGAGGAACTCTGAAAAGAATGGGAAGAAGTACAATGAGAAACAAACATTTGATTACATTAGTTTTTTTGTAGACAAGTATATTGCGTTTAAGATGTAATAGTTGTTGTTGTGATGTGGTTCTGTACGAACAGTTATATGGAATAGAATTGGAAGTTTTCGGTTCAAAAAAATCAGCCATTAAAGTTAAGGATAAAATGAAAGTTAAAACTATAGGTCAGTAGAGTAGTAGGACACAAATACTTGTCAAACAAGAGGCCAATGTTTAGGAAATACTGTGTACTGTAAGTTATAAACAGTGCAGATCCAGTGTGGGATTGATAGAATTCGAGATTAGTGGGGAAAATAAATGAAGGATAGTCTTTATCTGATTATGAAATCAGGATCTAACTTCATAAATAATAAAGATGAAGGGAAATCTTTATTAGAATATGAGCAAGAATCTTTAACTCATATACATAGTAAAGCCAAGGAGAATCTCCAATAATAAACATTAAATTACTTTCTTGATAACTTTTTACAAATAATAAGCCTCAATATTTATAGAAGCCAATTAACTACCAATCCCTAGAGTTAAGCCCCACTACCACATTACCTAGTAAGTATTCCTAGACTTTAGGCTCACTACCACGTTACTTAGCAACTACTCCTAGAATTTAGGCCCACTTACACATTATTTACTACTTAGTAACTGACATATATAAAATAAAATATTTGACCTCATAAACAAATGACCCACACTGACTCTACTATAAGTATTAATAACATATAATAAAAGCATTTTGTGGCACTCTATCAGGGACATAGCCCATAGGGAGACTCTTTTTCGTTTGACAAAGGCCAGAAGTAGGAACCATGAGAGGACACTGGTTGGATTTGTCTAACAGACGGTATTGTTTCTTCTCGTGCAATGGATAAACCACATAATCTCTCCCCATCTAAATGTAACTAACATGCGTAATGAAACACCAGCAGAACCAACAAAGCAAATTTGATATCACTAAACCAGTGAAGTTTAAAACCAAATTGTTACGTCTAGATTAAAACAAATTAGTCAGTAGCATAAACCATTGACATTATAACACAAACTGCAAAACACATTATAGCACAAACTGCACAATTCACCTTGTTTTATTCCCCCCATCATAAAAAGATTAACAAGCATACTGTGATTCACATTGAAAGCAAAGAGATAGTATGTTGCTTAAAAGGCATTTTTACGACATCTATAACTCACAAGAACAACAAGTACACATCAATAATTCAATATCCTTTGGAATGAAGCAAAAGAAAGTTCATTCAGTGAGCATTCGCAATTTAAAATTGTTGGAGGGAAGATGAGGTAGATGTAAATGAAAGCTGACCAGAAAAAGACTTGGCCATATTCCTCTATAGAGTGCAGTCCATCCTTCCTCTTTCAATATGGTTCGCAGAGCATCTGAAGGGGCACGGGAAAAAAGTATACAATGTAAAAAGCTGCTGCATGAAATCACATATTTAGAAAATTCAGGCAACATAACAAAGAAGCCTGCAATCCCATGTCCCGCACCTTTCCCCCATGACCTCTAGCAAGAAGCATTTGTCTTAAAGAATTCATATTCACACTCCTAAATTCATGAACTCCAACCAGATAGTGTTAAAACTGGAAACGTAGCATTCACATAAGGAAGAGCCCAAATAAACTCGCATAAAAAGCACAAAACACCTTCACTTGCCACCACGATCATATAACCAATTTTCTTCACTACATGCAAGGTCATGGAAGACATAATTCAAAATCTTCCCAACAATCATGTAGTTTAAAACCAGAATGCACTCTACAAAGCTTTAGCTCATTGATTGTGCAAGTGATTTAAGAGGTCCTTATTCCTCTATGACCTATGAGTCTATAACCATTAACTGAATGGCTTTATGTGATAGGCAATCCAACATGATAATTATCAAACTGCCTTAGCACTATCTAAAGTATACACCCAAAATTTGATGTCAACCAATTGTTATCTTGTTATGGTAACTATTCATTTTGTTTACACAGATTGAGCTACTCCAACACCGTGCCATATGTAAGAAGCATTCATTATTCAAATTTTTGGAGATAAAAGTGAACCGTAAACTCCAGCATATTGACGAGTCTGATGCAGAGGATTTTGGAGTTGCAATCTAGTTTTAATGAGCCAAACTGGATTTGTGCAGAAAGACACCTGAAAGGGATAAAAGAATACTGCTCAAATATAGATTATATTAGTCGAAAAATGAGAACTAAAAACAAATTACTAAATTACTAATCTTCTAAAGAGATACTTCTTCCATCTAGATTTTGTTGTCACATAGTTCTAAGTTCTAACCTTTCAAAATCAATGATTGGGCATATAAACACCCGTTTTAGAATTAGCTTTATCAACCAAACCATGAGTGAGAGGGTGGAAGCATAAAGCAATGATAAAATGAAAAATAGAAATACCTTAGGTAATTCATTACTATATTTCTTCACTAATTTAGGACGGTGAACCAATTCTTGACAATCTAATATCATAAATTGGACTGGAATATAAATATCACTTCAACACATTTGCAGGCATCCCCCAACAGCCCAAAACTCTAAATGAGAAGAAGTTAAGGACATTATTCAACAAGACACGACAAATATATACATCCGAACTCTGAGTGAGCTCTCGGCGTATTTGAGAGTTTAGAATGAACACGCACCATTTCTTGAATATAGTCCTTCGTATTTTCAAATAAGAATATATTATCAATGTAATAGCCAAAGGTAGATCAATATCCAAGGAGAAGATCAACTTCAGCAATGCAAAAAAAATATGATGATCAAATGCAAAATGTAGAACCACTGCAAAATGTAGAACCGTGAGACAACTAATTCAGAGGGAAGAAACTACATTATTGAACTCACCAATGCTCCAGCCTCGGCTGCGGCAGCCAGATGAAAACTGGGATTCAGCTTCTCGTCCTTCTCCATGTGGCAAGCATACCTTTGCTTTGCTCTTCCATAGCTGCAGATGAGTACAGATATCAGTAAATTCAACAATACTCCGTAATAATAACTCCAAAACAAATAATGGGTATTACTCCGTATTAGTTTTCTACTTACAAGAAGAAAAACAAGCCCCAGGAAATGGAAGATCCAAGAACCGCGGGGAAGAACCCCGCATAAAGTCCCCTCAGACCCTCACAGCGAGCAATAGTGAAGAGAGCGTGAGGAGTGTTCTTGTAGCTTGGCACTACCATTGTTCTTCCGTCATTTACTTGGAATCTGGTTCGGATCACATCCAGTGGGTGCATCGCGGCCACCGTGGCGAACCCCGCTATGGCTCCCGCGGCTGCGTTTTCGGCACCGCCGCCTACCTGGCTCGCCATTTTTTCTGGCTTGGCGGCTCTCAGATTCGATTCCCCTGTCCGCGCCGTCAATCCCTGCGCACGGTTTGAGATTTGAAAGTGAATTCGCCTTCTCTATTTTTTTTTCCACTTAGGCAACTCCAACAGGGCATGTATAAGCTAAAAATAAGAAAATTTACACTTTACGATTCCTAAACAAGGTTTCAACTCACTCTTCAAAAAATAAAAGAACTTCTATAATTGACTTTTCACCTTTCAATTATAACATGTGGTCTGCATTTTCTATTCTTTCCTACACCGCTTCTCTCACACTTCTCTCTCTTCTTCGCTCGTTGAAGAGGGAACGTGAACTTTAGGAACGACTCGAGGTAAGCTTCATATCATAGTTTTCATGGATTTTTTCGTCCAATTACTGTGCCAGGGCAATTGTTTACCTTAAATTCATTTGGTTTCTTGGGCTACTGGAAAAATTAAAATTTGAGGGTTGATTTCTGGTCTGCAATTGTAATTCTCTTCTTAAAATGTATATTGATTTGCTGGTTGTTTGTTCACTGCATATGAAGCAAATACATTTTTCTCGTAATATGTAATTTTTTAATGCAATTGTTCTTTCAATTTTGTTCCCCCAATCTGCAATTTTTGTTCTTTCAATTTTAATGCTTTTGTTTCTCCATAATATTTTCGTTTTTTGAGACCACCAAAGTCTTTAGACTATTTTTTCATTTATTGCTTAACTAATTCTTTACAATTTATAAATGGTTTGTACAGACCATGGAGAACTTGTTTCCTACCAAGTAGTGTATGCTCCTATAACAAATCAGTGTATTCCTACAATGTTTATTTGTTAAATTAGTATTGTTATTTTTAATTGTTCAGATGGCTAGTAATCAAAGTGGATTCTTTAGCAATATGTTAAATAATGGTGCTGATCTTGATGAAATTCTTGATGTGCAAACACAACATGAGCCTGTCATGAGAAAGATTTTGTAACTCCAAGACGTGCACGTCAACAAGGATTTACAAAAGATGAAGACCTTTTAATAATATCCGGTTACCTGACACATCTGTTGATCCAATCATTGGAAGTGGACAAAAGCAGGATGCATTTTGGAAAAGAGTACATGATTATTTTGTGAGCGACGGAAAATTTAGTCGTACTCAAGTTTCTATTTCGTGCCCGTTGGAATGTAATAAATAAAGATGTTTCAAAATTTGTTGGGTGTTATGATCAAGTTCAACATCAACAAGAGAGCGGATTGAACGAGCACGATAGAGTACATTTCTTATCTTTGTATTATATTTTTTTACATTACTTTATGTTGATAGATAATGTTACTCTTTTTTTTTCTCATACTAGTATTTTTACCCGTGCAATGCACGGGGTCGAACAAAATTTTTATTGGTTCTCAAACTTTTTTAATGCAATATTTTTTCCCAGAGTAAAGAAAATATATTTTCCTATGATTTTTCATACTATATACAAAAATTCCAAAGTAGAATAAACAATATTTGAGGAATTGAATGTGTATTCAACCAAGTTTTTTTAATACCAAGCTTTTTGAAAGATTGTAGGGTATATAATTTTTTTGATATAGTTGCAAGGGTATCATTGTCATCAAGAACCAATATTTTTAATTGTGTTTTTGTCTTCACTCATGGAACCATAACATAAAGCTAACCATGAGTAAATACCAACTTGGTTAAAAGTAATGCAAGAAATGACAATGTTGGACTTTGACTTTTGTTGATAGTCATTGCAAAATATAAGACTATTGAGATTTGCCTTATAAATAACTTCAAGAGTAGTCCTAGATCAGATGGTATCAATTTCATTTGGAGTATAGAAACTTTTTGCTGACTCGGTTTCTCAAAACCACAATAGACCAACAACATTCTTTCACATCTCTTCAAGGATTAATCGTGTACCATTACATAATCCATATATTTGGTCGATGTTTCTCAACATCAAAATCGTTAACCCATTTTTAAGATTATTTTGTAGTTTTGGATTCCCGAACATTTGATTTCATTTAAAATTTAATTGTTATTTAATTGTCATCAATAATTACATCTGAATCGGCCTGACATGAAAAATCAAAACTCAGGCACACCATTTCATATTAGGGAATGAGGGATATGACAAATTCATTTACCATTTCTACAACCTCAAGCATGGTCCAGTAGTGCCCTATCCTAAAGAATGAATAAATTTTCATACTCTCCAGTCTCCAATAAGTTTAATTAGGATAAGTGAAGTCCACTATACTCTTCACAAAATAACTTGTGTCTAGAATTAATAATTTATGCGGAATTTTAAGGTCAGTTGTTTCATCAATCACTTGTCTAAGTTTTTCATCTCTAACTTTAATTATCTAATCAGAAAAAATTTGTGTGTCCCTGGGATAGAGGACGTAGAAGAATGTAATATCATATTCTTCGCTAACATATAAATTTTAAAGTACGACCATAATTTTAAAGAATAGATGATAGCACTCACAATTTTTCTCTCTTGAAGTTTTGGGTAAAACAGGAAGAGTTTGCCAAAAATCACCTCTGAGTACAACTATTTTCCCTTCGAGTCCTACTTTTTCCCCTCCGAATTCAACTATTTTCCCTCCAAATGGTTCATTTATAGAGTTTTTATTAGAGAAATTCATTACATCTCTCATTTTGTGATCCAGTACCTTAAAAATAAATCTATTCATTATACATGCTCCATCACATATTATTAGACTTGTTGGATTAGTTCTGCTTTCGGACTCTCTTGTTTGATGGCACACGTTATGCAATCGCCCAAAGAGATTGAGAATCTCAAGTGTAATGTCATTCACCCATGTCCTTCCCCCATGAAAAAGTAATGTTGCAATATCACTGGATGTGACATTCAAGACAATCTTATCATTTGACATTAGAGAAATAAACATTTATTTCCATAAAAAAATATTTTTTCAGTTCCACTGTAACCATACATAACAAAGAAACCTCCTCTTTCAGGTGTCACAACTTCCATTATCTCATCGTATATATTGTGCTGATATTCATTCATCGTAGATAAGTATCTCATAAGATCATATGCAAACTTTTCTTTTTCACTTTTATAATGCAAAATCATTCAATATTCTCGTCAATATACAAAATGTTTTATCAAAATACAAATAATTATAAATTTGAAATTATATTTCTCTTTGATGTGGTTGTAACTTGTAACTTAGTCTCGATCTTATTAGTCTCCATTCCGATTTAATATTTCTATTTGACTTTTCTTGGTCAAATTTTGTATACTTTAATCTCGTTATATAGAAAAAAGGAATCTCTTCATGTTTAGTAGCTAAATAATAAATTTTGGAGTTCCGATCAACAAAATTGGAAATCTGTTCTCGTAAGCTCCGCAAAGAATATAGAAAATAATATAATTCACCAAAAAATAATGCTATCAATTTCCTTTTTAAATAGATTACTCATGATGCCCTCCCTTAAACTTACCAAATGAAGTGTGAGTACATCATCAATTACACAATAGTTTTCATAATTTCACCTATCTACACTATAGAAGAAAAAAAGAAAGGTATGCAAAGAGGTTCCCAAGAAGTTGAAGGAAAGATGATGATTTTGTAAAATAAAAAAAGATATATAAGTTAATAAAAGTGTAGAAGGAAACTTTTGGTAGTTACTACTCCATATATATTACTCTGTATATATTTCCTAAACAAAACTAAAAAAAAGCACTCAAATAGAAGTAAGACATAAATCTTATGCCCAGAATAAGAGTTCAATATTTTTATTTCCTAAATAAAGTTTACACAGTGACGTTGTGGCACTGTATAGTACCATTTCATAATGTTTTTAGCACTATATAATAAAATATTGGTATTGTAGTTAATATTTTGGAGATTAAAAATATGAAACTCATATTTTGGCACTTTTTCCCTATTCTAATCTTATTTTAGTTTTTCCTTCCAAATAATTATAGTGGCACTTCGTAATCCGTATAGGTGGCGGATGATTTGTTAAAATGTTGCCATGTAGACTCACCACTTACTCTAATTCTATGAGTTTAACTCTTAAATTTAATATATAAAGATAAAGATTGGCCTCGATATATGAAAAACAATTTTTGTTTATCTATAAATGCAATATCAATAATCTTTTTTAAAACGTTGTTTTGAAATATGAATTTTCATAAGATACGATAAGTATAAATATTGATATTAATGATCAAAATATTATATTGGAGAGCGTTAAAAGTTAAATGAGAGGATTAAATCTACTTATACAATGAGGAGTTTTAACATGGTCATTTTTTTCAAGATATGTAGCAACCAAACCCATTCTTTTTGTTTAGCATAAGACCACAAACCTAAATATAAAATTAATAAAATTCATTCAGAGAAGTAGGTGCATCATTAATTATTTCATAAAAATGGATGAATCTAAATCACTTTTTTATGCAAAAATATACTCCCTCCGTCCCTCGTATATCTTCTCATTAACCCTTTTTATTTGTCCATCATAGATCTTCTCATTACCTTTTTAACAATTAAAATATATACCACAACTATCCCCACTTACTTTATTTATTACACCTCACCTACCTCATTTAATACACTCCACCCATTTTCATTAAGGGTATTATGGTAAACTTTCACATTTTTTTCAACTCTCTTTAAAACCACAAAAATTCAAAATGAGAAGATCTTAATGGGACGGAGGGAGTAATTCTAAATCCAAAAATAGAAAGTGTTCTTTACCCCCCCTCTATATGTATATATGGTAAATAAATTGGTATGTTTAAATAATTCTAAAAATTTTATTCATTAACTGTCCCAGTTTGCTTTGCTGTCAAATGTTTGAATAATTATTTATATAAATATATAATGAATTGAAATATTAAAAATTAGACTATAATCTCAAAATAAAAAATATGTTGGATAAAAAATTTCATTGGTCAAACATATCATTCGAAAAATGAACTGGGTGTTAAAAACAATAGAGTTACTAATTCTTAAGATTAACTGCATGAAACTAAAAAGACAAATAATTTAGTCACTATGTTCAATCATTAAAAAATAAAATAAAATAATATCAAATTAGTACTCCGTATGTTGGTTAAAATTACGAACTCATTAAAATAATAAATAGACAACAGATGATTTATTAAAAATGTCATATTAGCTCGTGACATGCCAATATCATGTAAGCCAGAGTCTCAAATTTTATAATAAAAGGAAGGATTAGCCAATAAATGTCATTAGCAATTAATTGAAAGTTTTTTTATAATTTATATTTATAACCTCCAAATTATAATTACTTTACATATACCTCGTAAAAGTTTTTCATATGTGCAATAATTGGGAATGAAAATTTGCTCTAATAAGATGTTTTCATACTTTAACTTAAAATTGCCAAGTCACTTAAGTCATCAAATGTGGCTGATGATGTGTAAAAAAATTTTGCCAAGTAGCCTGCCACATGTCGAATTTCTGGGAGTTTAACTCCCAAATATTATATATATAAAGGATTATCAAAGCTGAGGCTTTGTTCAAGGCAGCAAGTGGAAAAAATTTCCAGCTTCTTCACTGTTGGAATGTGCTAAAAATGAACTAAGATGGACGTCCACAAGCTCTTATGAGCGTTCCAACAAATTGTCAAAAAAATTTGCAAATGCATCTCCTGGAAGTGTAAGTTCTTCTCCTGCAACTCTTGACTCCATTAATCTTGGAAATGACAACATTGAAAGTAATGTTTTTGAGAGGCCTATGGGAAGAAAAGCTGCAAAGGAAAGGCTTCGGAAAAAAAAAACATAATTCTACATCTTCAGCTACAACATCAGTTTTACAAGCATGGAGAGAAGAGTATGCTGAAAATGAACGTACTAGAAAGGAGAGAGTTGAAAAACAACTATGCTATCAAGCAGAATATCTAGAGCTGGAGAAACAAAAACACACAGAATGCATTGCATTCGAAAAGCAGAAGTACACCAATAAGATAATGAAGATGGATACTACTACTACTACTACTATGGATGAGACAAGAGCAGCATACTACAAGAAGCTTCAACAAGATATCCTTAATGGTCTGATGTAAGTGTTCTACATTGCGTTGAAGTGCTTATTCTCCATATTTTTGCCACAAATGTTCGACTAGGTCTGCCTGCAATTGGGAATGAACTTGTTTATTTCTCATTTGAATATGTGTTTGTAAGAATTCCATGACATTCGGTGTTTGTTCATGAGACACGATAATTTCTAGACATGAGTCAATTGCATCGTAATCTACATTCTCCATTCCTCTTTCATCCTCTATAATCATATTATGCATTATCACGCATGCTTCCATAATGTCAACAAGTGTTTCTTGGTCCCCAAATCGAGATGGTCCTCTCACTATAGCCCATCGAGATTGTAAGACTCCAGAAGCTCTCTCTACATCTTTTCCAGCTGATTCTTGTGCTGCTGCAAAATGCACTTGCTTCTTTCCTCGAGGACATGGAATTGTTTTCACAAAAGTAGCCCATGTAGGATATATTCCATCAGCTAGATAATACCCCATTTTATACTCGTGTCCATTAATTGAATACGTAGCAGGAGGAGCACGTCCCGCAAGTAATTCACGAAAAACAGGAGATCGATCTAATACATTAATATCATTGAGTGCTCCTGGTAACCCAAAGAATGAGTGCCATATCCAGAGATCATAAGAAGCAAGTGCTTCAAGAATAATGGTTGGTTCATGAATATGTCTTGTGTACATACCTTGCCAAGACGTTGGACAATTCTTCCTTTTCCAATGCATACAATCAATACTTTCAAGCATATCAGGGAAGCCACGACGTTCACCAACACCCAATAATCTATTAATGTCCTCTTTGTTGGGTGCTCTTTTGTATTCATCACCAAAAACTGCAATAACTGCAGAAACAAACCTTTTAAGGCTCTCGGCAGTACTTTCTCCAATACGTACATAGTCATCAACCAAATTAGCTGATGCTCCATAAGCAAGCATCCTCATTGCAGCTGTTATCTTTTGAAGGGACGATAATCCAAGGACTCCACAAGCGTCCCTTTTTTGTATGAAATAGTTATCATGGGCTTCAATGGTTGATTGGATTCGAAGAAATAAATTGCGACTCATCCGGAATCTCCTACGAAATAAATGATCAGGATATACAGGTTTTGCTGCAAAATAATCATTCCATAACCTATTGTGACCTTCTTTTCTATCACGATAAATAATAGAATGCCCAAGAATAGATCCTTGTCGAGCTAACTGTTGTCTAGCATTTTCTTCTTCTTCAACTGCCATGGCAGTTACTGCCCCAAAGTTGATTCTTTCCTCATCATCAAAATCATCAAGAGCATACTTAAGGGATTAAAGAAATGAGCCATGTCTTCCAAACTTATTTTATCAGGAGAGATGTGTTTAATGTATCAATACTCTTTTTTCTAGATTTAAGAAATGAGTTTCTTTTATACACATTTGTAAAATATCTTATCTCCCAAAAGCAAATCTGATCTCTCAAAAAGCAAATCTTATCTAGATTTTATAGGATAGTAAATCTTATCCCAAAAGGTCAAACCTAATTATGCAGGACTTTTTTTTTTCCTTTTTTTGTTAAAATGTATTATGAGAATAAAGAAAATTTGAGAGAGAAATACTCCCTCTGTCATAAAATTAACTTCTCATTTCACTTTTCACGGTCTCCAATATGACACTTTGACCATCAATATCTCAATTTTTATATAGATATATTTTATAAAAAAATATATATTTCAAAATTATATTCCAAAATGAATATATTCCTAAAAAAATTATTAGAAAATTCAATATATTTTTTCCTTAATCTAGGGTCAAAGTTTAAAAAGTTTGATTGCAAAATTCAAACTGGAAAATTAATTTTAGGACGGAGGAAATATTATAATAAAAAATTTTATCATGTTATTTAATCCGTACATGAACATGAATGCAATATAAAAATATGAATTAGGTATGTTTACAAAATTCAAAAAATTTAATGTAATAAATATTTTAAAAGTTTAAAAAATAGATGACATGGTTGGAGAAGTGCTAGAAAAATGGAATGCTAAATTACTGTTGGAAAGCTAAAATAGCATTTAGCTTACCAAACTTTAGCATATGCATTGGAGTTGCTCTTATAGCGGTCTATTAAAACTAAAATAGTAAGGAGTAAATTTTACGAACTATCCTCCATTATATAAAGTTTTCACACTCCTGATTTAGTTTCTAGTTATAAGATACTCCTTCCGTCCCGTTATATTCGTTCACTTTTGATTTTTGGAATTGTTAATTTAAGCACTTTGACTCATCAAACTCTCTCAATTTGTAAGCATAAACATAGTCATGTGTGATCGTGTTTGATTTGTCTTAACATATAGATTATTAATATATAATTTCTATAATTTTTTAATATACAAATTACAAGATAAAATGGATTAAAAAACTGTATTGGATGGTGTGTAAAAATGAAAGTAGACAAATACTCTATGACGGATGTAGTATTTTATAAACAGTTTTCAGTTTTTAAAAATTATTCTACAACTAGTTCTTTCATCAAATATAACAAAATATTTTAAGTCAATTTTCAAAATAATCTTTTTTAATAAGATTTTCATCCAAATTAATCTTCAATAAGCAAAAATTATGAGTGTGGCCCTATATAATTGAAATGTGTTTCTTAAATAATTCTTTATAAGAAATGTTTATTAAATTACATATAAAAAGAAGGGTATTTTGGTTCTCTTTATTATCAAAAATTTGAATAAGTCTTCAAAATAATTTTTTTTAAATTAAATGGGAAGGTACTAGAAGAAGGTCCCACCCCGAGTTGACTCGTGGATTCCATTTCAAAAAAATGTTTACTTAAAAGTTGTCAATTTGAAAAAAGACTTAATTATAAAAGATCATTTCGAGAACATATATACTTTAAGCCTAGATGATAGAATATATCAAAATACATTCTAATTGACTAACGTTAAATAGACATTTTAGGCAAAGGACCATTTGGGGAATAAATCTAAATTATAAAGGACCACATTGGTAATTATTATTTATTATTAACCTCCCACTTAATTTAAAAAATAATTTTGAGGACTTATTCATAGTTTAGATATTAATGATCATCAAAATGCCTCTATTTAATTGTCATTTAATATACATTTTTTATAAAAGACTGTTTAGGGAACACATCTCAACTATAAAGGGTCACGTTAGTAATTTTTGGTTATTGAGGATTACTATGGGAAAAAACCTTATTAGAAAAGATTATTTTGAGAATTTTCTTAAAATATTTTGTCATGTTTAGTGAAAAAGTCTAGTTGTATAATAATTTTCAAAAGTTGAGAACTATTTATTTAATATATTATAATTGGGGACTAAATATAGAAAATTACATATAATTGGGAATTATGTATGGAATTTACTCTAAAATAAGATTATAATAGCAGTGTGATGATGTAAGAATACGCATTGACAATGTGATGAAAAAACTGAAGACAATTTATACTTCCTCTGTCCATTAATTTCTTTTCCACTTTTCTTTTTAAGTTATCTAAAAATTTCTTTCTTGTTTCATATTTTGGCAAAAATCTTTTAACGAATGTACCATTATAACCCGACTTTTCATCTAGACTATTCACTTTATTACTGAAATCAAGGTAAGGTTAGATATGATTAGGAAATGAGTTATGAACATATTGGCATTGAATTGGTGTTGGTTTGTTACTCTATATATATTGTAATCCTTCCCCGTTATTATGGAATCAATCAATAATCAAGAATTCTCTTCATCTCTCGTCTCTCTATTCTTGGAGCCTGGAAACGCTCGAAGTTTTCCTTCTCTCTTTGCCTCTCCTTTCTTGGAGCCCGAAGACGCTCGAAGTTCTTCCTTATCCGATACGATATTCGTATCAGATTAAAAAATATATTAAAAAATAAAAAACTATATCAAAAGTTTTACAAAATAAGTTGAAAAAAGAAAGTAAAGTTATTTTGACACGTGAATAGTAACTAGGAGTTTTTTATTTTTTTGGGGACGAATGAAGTATTGTTTATCAACATATTTTGAATTGATCTGATTAGAACATATTAGATTTGATATGATCTGAATGAGTCTAATCTTATATGATTGGATAATCTGATATGATATTAATAAGAATGAGTAATTCTTTCGTCCCACAATATTTGAAATTTTTATTAATTATTATTATATTCTCTCGATTATTTTTGTATTTTTCTATATTTTAATTGATAATTTCATGAAATAAAATAATTTTAACATATTTTTGATATATTTTTGATGAGTGCAATCTGTAGTTTTACTTTTATACTCCCTCCGTCCTAAAACTTTCTTCTTAGAGCACTATTCCAACTTCACAGAAATTTATATTTATTTGTGTTTTTTCATGGCCTATATGATAAAATAAAATATTCTTGTCATCACTTGTTTTGTTGAATTTTTGATGTAGTTTTTAAATACGTATGTTTTATTTTTTATTTATATACCAATATTTAAATAAAATAGATTGAAAAAACTTGAAATTTTTATTCATTTTGCGAACCGGGAAGAAAATTTTAGAATAGAGGGAGTACTAATTTATACCCGGTAATTAAAACTTTAAAAGTACTAATCATACAGATACTGCTCTGGTCCGGCCGTCCGGGACTGCGTAAGAGCATTAGGGCATTTAATCTGGACTGCCTAAGGACATTTTAGTCTAAGCAAATTACAACGATTCTTTTTTAAATGCTAAACGTCGTTAATAAAAGGGTTAAAACCCTATTACAGTTCACGTCGTAAACTTCACGCTCTCTTCTTACCGCCGCCTCCGTTCTCCTGCTTACTTTCTCTCTCTCGTTCTTAACGCTCTCTTCAGATCTCTCGCTGGCGCTTGATATTGAATCTGTTATTCTTCATACTGCATTCAGATTCAATTTTGTTGCTCTCTTAACGATCTGAATTTGGTTTTGCAGGCCCTTTTGTTTTCGAATTTTTCTCCTAACGGTCTGAAATTGGTTTTGCAGGCCCTTTTATTTTCGAATTTTTCTCTTAACATATTTCTGTTTATAGCTGTTGTTTTCCTTTTTGTTTTTTTGTGTGTTATTAACGTGATGGTTGCAGGATTCAGGAACCCCTCTATGAAAATGTTTCGTCAGTATGACTTGCCTCCTCAAACAAAAAGATCGCATCAAAATGTATGTAATCTCTACCTTTTGTAAATTGATGTAAATTTCATCTGCACAATTGATTCAAAAAAGTGTAAATCCCATTAAAAAGCTATCTACTTTCATCTGCAAATTTGATGTAAATTTCGTTGTCACTTTTTTTATATATTTTGGTATCTAAATCTCATATTGACCAAGTAACCTGAGTTTTTATTCTCTGTTGTTGGATAAGTTCTTAAAAAATACGGAGTATGGTATTTTTTGAAATCTCCAATGAATTATTATCTGTTGCCACCTTTCTCTGTTTGAGTTTCTTCACAATCTAGTTTTCCAGAAATATAGTTGACTGAACAGATTTTTTTCTGGTTGCTTTTTTTGTAGTTTGACAGGTTCATTCCTAACAGATCTGCAATGGATTGGGACTATGCACACTTTATGGTGACAGAAGGGTGCAAAGTGAAGCAGAATCCTGTGGCCAGGTCACCTTCAATCGAAGCATATCAAAAGCAGCTTGTAGAGGTCTTCAACATGAACCGGAGGATTCTTGCTTTTAAAGACAAACCACCCACCCCTTTGCGTGGGTTTCCGTACGAGGATTCTCCTGTTTCTTATGAGGCCAGACCTTCAAAACCTCTTCGCCACATTCCTCAGGTAGAAAGGAATCTTTTTTACTTCTTCAATACTGAGTGAATTTTAAACTTCTTATTTATAGTTTTGATGATTGGTTCATTTGTGCAGACATCCGAGAGGACTTTAGATGCCCCAGATATTGTGGATGACTACTACTTGAACCTACTAGATTGGGGAAGCAGCAATGTTCTTTCTATTGCTCTTGGCAGTACTGTTTACCTGTGGGATGCTTCTCGGCGCAGGACATCTGAATTGGTCACGGTTGATGATGAATTTGGTCCTGTCACCAGTGTGAAATGGGCTCCCGATGGAAGGCATGTTGCTGTTGGATTGAATAATTCTGATGTCCAGCTTTGGGATTCCACGGCTAACAGATTGGTACGCTTCTTCTAAAGCTCTATTAGTTAGGGTCTTGTTTTTATTTCTTCCATTGATTGAATAAATACTGAAAATTTGTTGTTGTCTGATGCGTGGGCAGTTGCGAACTTTGAGAGGTGGCCACCAATCACGAGTGGGAGCCCTTGATTGGAACAAGCATATACTTACCACAGGTGGGATGGATGGTCTGATTATCAACAATGACATCCGGGTGAGATCACATATTGTGAAAACATACAGAGGACATAGTCATGAAGTGTGCGGCCTAAAATGGTCTGCCTCGGGTCGGCACTTGGCGAGCGGAGGAAATGATAACCTTCTATATATATGGGACGGATCATCGACTGCCTCCCCAACAAATCAATGGCTTCACAGGTTTGAGGAACACATGGCTGCAGTTAAGACACTTGCCTGGTGTCCGTTTCAGGCAGACCTCTTGGCCTCCGGGAGAGGAGGAGGAGACCAGTGCATTAAGTTCTGGAATACCCATACCGGTGCATGTGTGGGCTCAGTTCATACAGGGTCTCAGGTGTCCGCGCTGCTTTGGAACAAGAATGAGCGTGAGTTGTTTAGCTCCCATGGGTTTACTCAGAATCAGCTAACTCTCTGGAAATACCCATCAATGGTTAAGATGGCAGAGCTTAGGGGACATACATCTCGAGTTCTTTCCATGGCTCAGGTTTGACTGTCTTTCTTCTTCTTCTTGTTCTCACACATTTAATATCAAAAGATTGCTATCGCGGTGCATGGTTAAATATACTCACTCACAGTCATATATTTCTTGTGCAGAGCCCAGATGGTTGCACTGTTGCATCTGCTTCAGGTGATGAAACACTAAGATTTTGGAATGTTTTTGGAACGCCTGAAGTTAAGAAAAAGGTTCCCAAGCCCAATCCGGAGCCGTTTGCTCATGTTAACCGAATCCGCTGATGCACGATTCAATACATGCTTGATATAACCTCAGGTAAGGTGTAAATTTAATCATTGCCTTCTCTAGCTATAGCTTTTCCCAGTTTGTGCGTATGCAATCTCGCATTCAATACTTTACGGAGTACTTTCGCTATATTATTATACTTTTTCTGGCTTTTTTTAGTGTTCCTGGAGACCTTCTAGAGGTCAAGCATTCCGTTCACTACCCAAAATTGAAACTTGAATGTGAAGGGAATGATATGTGTTGGGATGAATCTTTGATGAGGCCAATCAAATCACTTATTTCTAACAAAAGTTTTGTTCTTATCATTTCAGGTGGTGTATAGTATGCTCAGTTTTAGACGCTCCCATATATATGTTTAGTTCTTATAACTATAATTAGAGCTTGCAATTTGTTTAGATCTGATTTAGGCAACCTTTAATTTTTGTCATTAAATCTGTATAGAGTTTTTTTTACTAAATAAAGCTGATTAATTGAGTATCTTTTACTGCTGATGCTCATAATGTTGTGTTGGGCTGGGCTTATAAATTTCTTTGCATCTTTATCCCGACAATAATACTATATGTCCATAGGTGTTTATAAACTACATTTGTAGTTCAGTTTAGACAATAAAAACTCTTCATTGCAAATCAAATGGTTTTGAAACAATAACTGGTGAAAATGAACAATTAAGAAACAAATACAATACATATTATTTTTTTTTAAAATACGAATAAAAAAACGTATAGGGCATAGTCAAAAGATATATCATTCGATAAGTTGCTCAAAGACAATGAGGTGCACACATAGCTACCATTGATGTATTTAGAGCTAGATAAGATTGCAAGTTAGGTGTTGTGTTCGATTAAATTCCATAAAAATGTGAGGAGGTTGATGTTTCTTTGAGAGTTGATAGCTTAGAATGATGACACGTGGCAACTTAAGGCTTCTAATTTGCTTACCATGGGATGACACGCGTCCAATTATTGGCGGAACCTCCTTCCCAGGCAGTACCGTTCTTTCCCTCAACCTTCTTCTTCGCCGAAGGAAACTAATTTTATTTGGATCTTCACGCTGAAAGGAAACTACTGATTCTGCCCTGATTCCTCGCTGCGATGGATTTTCACGGAAGGAAAGAAATCCCAGGTACTGCGATCCGACTTTCCATTCTTCTTCTTCGGCTACCCCAATTTTTCCCTAATTTATTCTGGAAAATTCTTTTTCTCATGAATTGGTGGGTTGATTAATACCAATCTGCTTCCTTCAATTAATTGAAATAATAAAAATCTTGATTCATACCTAATTTATATTCGTATACCCTAATTACATTGGAGAAATCGTATAACTAATTTATATTCGATTAATAGCAATATTCTTTCTTCCTATACTTCGGTCCATATATAAATTCTCCTCAAGAACAACCCAGGAATCATGTCTTAGGCATACTATTTTCTGAGATTCAGCCTTCCTTTTGTTTTTTGGTTCAATACGTGTCAATGACCATCCATCCACTGTCAAAGATCACTCCAAGCAGTGAATGTTGGAGGATCATGGTTTGTGTCATAAGATTGTATACTTTACCCGCTTATAATGATGAGAAGACTACAAATTCTATTGAAATGGTGTTCATGGATGAACATGTATGTCACATTCCCTTGATTCATCATATTTCTTTTCATTAATTATATTATTTCTATTATTGGATAATATCTTGGATGTTGGGTTTTTCTGTGTGGTGTTACTGGCATATTATTAGTATGGTTGTATTTGATGTGTTTCGATTATAAATGTGGCATATGAAAACAGTGTGGTTGTTTTTGTTAGTGGCATTAATGGCATGTTGTTAGTGTGGCATATTGTTAGTGTGGTATTACTGGCATATTGTTAGTGTGGCATATTGTTAGTGTCGTTGTATTTGTTATTGTGGCATATTCTTGGTGTGGCATATGAAAGCATTGTTAAGAAACTGTATGCCTGAGGTGGGTTTAGTGAGTTGTATGGACAACCTTGGTATGGACAAACTAATTTCATACACCTATTTGATTTTAAGAAACTGATTTTAACAGCTACTGTGGGTTTAGTGAGGTGTATGGACACCCTTTTTCTGTACTGGGTTTAGTGAGGTGCATGGACAACCTTTGGATGAACAGCCTTTGTATGGACTCATTTCACACAACTCACTGATTTTAAGAAACTGATTTCAACAGCTACTGTGTGTTTAGTGAGGTGTATGGAAAGAAACTGTATGCATTTAGGGTTTAAGTACTAACTGTAATTTTAATATATTGAAACTAAATGAAGTACTGACTGACAAAGTTAAGGTACTAACTGTAAGTTTAACTACTGCTGTAAGCTGAGGGTCTAACTGTGAAAGAAACTCTATTCATTTAGGGTTTAAGTACTAACTGTAATGTTAAATTACTAACTGTGAATATGAAACTAACTGTGAGGTAAGTACTGACTAAGTAGGTAGTGGCCAAAAACTGACTAAGTACTGACTCAGTAATATTAACTGTGATATTTGTACTTCATTTAGTTTGAGTAATATGAAACTGTCTGGAGTGGGTTTACTGAATAAATACTCAAACTGATTTCAAGGTTGTATTTGTCGTGTGTGGATTATAATCATTTTGCCTAATTACAGTATCTACTATTAGTCTGCATTGAACTTACATTTAGTACATAGTTGGTGCCCTTTTATAGAAGAATAAATGCTTAGTTTATGATTATAAAGACAGCCTTCCTGCCTGTGCATACTTAAAGACAGCCTTGCTGCCAGTTTGCTTAGTGTATGATTAAGATGTTTTGTTGTTGTTTTTTTGTTATTATATTCAGATTTATTGTTGTTTCTTGAGAGGATATGTTGTTGCAGATTGTTGGTGCTGTTTAATTTGAAAAAAAAGTAGGGAACTACGATACATGCCACTGTCCGGAGAAGTTTGGTTGGAACTTTTGATCTAAAGCCTTGGACAACTTTTTTTTAGTTATTTGTAATCGCGTTTCAAAAAACATATAGTGTCTGGTGTTATTAATAATATTGAGTTTTTGATGTGTTTGAACTGATTGATATAAAGTCTTTGAGAATAGAGATAAGTAACCAATGTTTGATTAGTTTTTGAAAAAATATCTTAAGGACCTGTGAAACAGAATTGAAATCTGGACTATTGAACAGAGTGTTTGCCAGTGTTTTAATGCTTTGCATCTAAGACAGTAATTCAAAGTTTTATTTAATGTTTGGACTGTTGAACATAGAGTATGCATCCAGGTTTTTAGTCTATCAATTAGAATGACGGACAGATTCTTTAGTTTGTTGGATTTAATATGCTTTATGCTATACTCACTTCCATGAACCAGGATTTGCTAGACATTCATGTTCTTGACATGCATACTGTTTGATGCTTTTTTAAGGATTTAGTGGTAAAAGTGTTTGATCTGTTTGCGTTATGAATGACAGATTTTCCACCTCTCATTAGAATCAATGAATTGTCAAACAAAATTGTTATGACTGTAAAAGAGATGGGTGATGACTGCGGTTTGTCGGTGTTTTGATGCTTTGCCGTTGTTTTAAAAAAAAAACCTGAGATTTGCCAATGTCTTGACCCGTGCTATGCGTTTAGCCGTGTGCTCCCCCATTGTTCCTTTCTTCAACTATTTTTAGTTCTTTCCCTTTTAATCTCTGAAACTATTGTTTTTTTTTAAATTAATTATATTTTCCTTCCACATTTCTGAAGGGGAGTACTATCCATGCAACAGTCCGGAAAAGTTTGGTTGGAACTTTTGAGAGACGAATCAAGGAGGGTTCGGTGTACATCTTCGCCTATTTTGGCATAGGCATCAGCAGTGGCTATTATCGCACCTCGAAACATGAGTACATACTTAATTTCCAACCACGAACTATTGTTACCGAAGGTACTTCCGGCAAAATTCCAGTGCATTGACTTAGGTTGAGTACTTTTGCTGATATTTTGCAAGCAGACACGAGCTACCCTTACTTAGTTGGTAATCTTTCAGTCTCTTATCCAAAATTAAAGCAAATCGTGATATATTTTTTGTGAAAAATAATATTTTCTTCTTCAACAGACACTATGAGCATCCTTACAGCTGTGGGCAAGCAAAGGGAGAGCATCCTTACAGCTGTGGGCAAGCAAAGGGAGATAGTAAAGGAGTCCAAAAGGACAAATATGATTGTGATCAAGTTAGAAGCAGAAGGGTATTCTTCTTTTGCAACAATTTAAATCAAAAAGCATAATTACACCATGAATAATGTTTGTTGTTTATTGTTTTTTGAATTTTGTATTTAGGATGCCATTGGATATCACACTATTTGGGGAATATGTTGAGAACTTTAAAAGCTTCTTCGAACAACAACCATTGGAACATCCCATAATCGTCATACAGTATGCGAAAGTGAAACTGTTTCAGGGTACTATGAACATTTAAATACCAAAGAGTTGAACTTTATCTGTTTTTCATATCACAGTCATCTTTGCTCTTATTCAAGAAAAACTAACCATGTCATGGATTTTTAGGAAATACAATTTTACAGAATGTCACGTACAGAACGCGCCTCCTATTAAATTCAGAGATAGAACAAGTGATTGCATTTAGACAGAGGTTTGTAATCTGATCTATAACGACCTATATACAGTATGACAACTATCTCTATACGTCATTTACTAGGTCATCGTCTTATTATAACTAAAACATTTACGTGAAGGTCTCTTAGCGTGACATCTCAACGTCAGCCCATTATGTTGTGTGATGACATTTCAAATGTGCAACATAGTGAATTCCTAGATCCTAATAGGACGAGGGTGATAACGACACTGAAGAATACAACTGAGGTAGTGAATACACTTTATATAAACTGAATTTTGAAAGCAAACTAATGCATAAATTTTATCCAAACAGGATGATTCCTATGTAGTGTATCCCACTGTTGAGGCGGTTAACAGTGGTGGGGATTAGTTTTATTTAGATTGCAAGTGTAATAGAGCTGTGAGAGCGGATGGTACCATGTACTATTGCATGCACTGTGCATGTCGTGTTTTGAATGTCACCCCAAGGTTTTTTTCCCTTTTCCTATATTCATTGTTCTGAACATGATTATTCAAAGTTACTTAAAATGCTTACTCTTTTTGGTAGATATTTGATCAAACTAGCAGTTAGGGATGATTCCGGAACAACTACATTTGTTTTATTTGACCAAGAAGCCTTCTTAATTTTAAATACCTCATGCTCCCAATTGCTTGAAAAGACAGATGCAGTATGTACTTTTAAATGAAATATTCTAAATGCATCTTTTGATAAGAGAAATATTTAATCATTCAAAGTCTGACATATTCTCTTTTACAACAACAGTAAGATGGAAGTACTGAAAATCCAGCGGAGTTTGATCCAGGTTTGATAAGATATTCGGATTTATTGATTGTTGATTAAAACATAGTCACCTGTGCCTTATACCTTCGTATATTATATCTAATATTTCATAATTTAACTTTGTGATATAGATTGATGTGACGCTCAGACTTTCGACTGGAGAGAAATTATCGCAGCATACCTTCTCCGTAGGAGAGGCATCATTGTGTGTAAAGGTGAGAACTCTTGGCTATTTACACACTTTAATAAAAAAAATGCATCTGTTATAAATTTGTATGTTTTTGTTGGTGAGTCCGAGGGTGAAGCATAACTAAATCATTGCATCATTCAGTTTTGGTCTGTTTGAATATCGTTTCAGCAGAATACTGAAACTTAAGAAAACAAAAATGCATCTGACCATAGAGACATTGGTCACTGTTTTGTTTGAAGTTGTTAGTCTAGGATCCCGTTATTTGAACTGGAGAATGTCTCCATAAGGTTATGGTCAATTTTGATTATTTCAACCTGTATGTGACCATAGCCTTGGGGTTAGAGTTGTATTATGAATGTTGGCATGTCTTTGGGTGAACAATTCGTGACTCTATAGTGATAGGGAAGAAGTGAAAACAGACTTTTGACAAGATACCATACCAGTAGTATTAATAGTTTTAAACAGAAAACACAAAGTTAATGTACAATGCCACCGTTAATCAACAATGAGCTCTTTTAAGACAATAATTCAAATATTTAGTAATTTCTGGAATGTTGAACATACATTACAAATCTGGGTTTTTAGTCTATCAAATAGAAAGACTGACAGATGCTTGGTTATGTTGCTTATGCTGTACTGACTGTCCATTTACTAGGCTTTTTAGTCTATCGATTAGAATGACTGGGTTTTTAGTAATTACAAAAGATTTGATTTAATTAGCTTTATGCTATACTGACTGTCCGTGAACAGGGATTTGCTAGATATTTAGACCATACCCATCCGTGCCAGACTTTGCCATGAAGTACTCTGAATGCAATTTTGGTTTATCAATTATAATGACTGGCAGAGGATGTAATATGTTGGATGTAATATGCTGTGTGCTTAATGACTGTCCATGAACCTGGATTTGCTAGACATTGAGACCATACCCATTAATGCCATGATTATGGCGTTCAAAACTTCAGGAACAAAACAGCCTATTGATGCCATACCCATGTTGAGACGGTCTGTTCATGAGGAAAACAGCCTATTAGTGTGAAATAATGGCAGCTATGAATCTGATTCCCGAGTATGCCTGCGCATCTAGGTTTATTTGTGGGTTATATTGCATTAGGATTTGGGTTATCAACCACAATGACTGACTGGTGATTTGGCATGAAATTTTGTGTATTCAACTTTGCTCTATCTATTACAATGACTGACACATGATTAAATGTGTTGGATTTGATATGCTTTATGCTAGACTGACTGTCCATGAACCCTGCTTTGCTAGACATTGAGACCGCACCCTTTAATGCAGAATCAAAGGCAGTGAAGACTTCAGGAACAAGACAGGCTGTTATGCCATACCCATGTTGAGACCATACCAATATTCAGAAAGAAAACAGCCTATTAGTTGAGAGAATGGCAGCTATGAATCTGATTCCAGAGTATGTGTGCACATCTAGGATTATTTGTAGGTTATATTGCATTAGGATTTGGGTTATCAACTACAATGACTGACTGGTGATTTAGTTGTTTCGATTTAATATGTTTTATAGGGGCCGGGATATAGACTATCCATTGTAACAAATGGGTAGACACAAAGACAATAAATGTCAATGCAAGACTTATGGTGGTGAAGACCTCTTGAACAAAAAAGCCTGTTGAAACCATACCCATATTGAGACCATACCCGTACCCATATTCAGGTTTGAACAACACTAATGACGTAATAGTGTTTGTTTCTTTTAGATAGAAGTGAGTTTTAATATATAATTTATTGAATAGTAAGAATTAAAAGAAAAGCCTAGAATCAGGTACCTAACGGAATTGTTTAGAAGAAACCTGCCTATTGTTGGAGACTTCAGGTACAATTGTACATGAACAAAATGAGCAGACAGGAATGAATCAACATATTGTTTCACAGCAACACTTATTCTTGATTAAACTTCATAAATGTTTTTAAACTTTGTCATGCAGAATTTGATTGAAGCTTTTGGAGAATCTAAGGATAATCGCTTGGAACAAGATGTGGATGTTATCACCGAGACTACTATCAACAAAAGAATGAAAGACGTGGAACATTATCATGTAGGTGGGGGTGAGTCGAGCAAGAAGATGAAGAACATCAAAATAGAGAAAGACTAAAGACTAGATATTTTATTTTAGAGTTTCAACGGATCCTATCTTGATTTGATAAGTTTTTACGGAGTATTTAAGATTGACCGCTAGACAAGCTATGATTTATAAGTGTTTGATTTTTTATGATTTACTTTATAATTTAAACGCGTTTAAACACTTTGAGGCTTCCATTCCAGCCACTTATATCCATATACTTCATCATACAGGTTTATTTTTTAATTCAAAACATATTGTTCTTATTCCTTTATATTTCACTCTACTTCGTGACTTCAATGGCTATGTGCATATAAGATTTCATACTTCTCATTTTTTTTTCAATTGTGGATTTATAAAAAAAGATATTAGTTTAATCATTATTAATTACAATGTAAAATTATAATCCATAAAAAATCTATAAAATAGACACAAAATATTACTCCCTCCGTCCCAAATTATAATGCATGTTCACTATTCACAGGGTCAAACTTCATTCACTTTCTTTCTCTATTTTCGTTAGTAATTTGATAAAATAAAATATTATTGTCACTACTAGTTTTGTAGATCTTTTGATGTAGTATTTTGATATGTAATTTTTATTTTTTAACTCTATATCATTTGTCATATAAAATGATTTGAAAATAACTTCAGTCAAACATCGTAAACCGAAATAGGCGTTATAAAATGGGACGGAGGGAGTATTAAACTAAGCTAAGCGAATGTAGATCTCTTTAGCAAGTTATAAATTCGTTTACACTTGAAACAACCCCTATTAAACTTGATCCAAAATTGGATAATAAATAGCTAAAAACATTTATGAATATACCCCTGAATATTATTTTTGAATATAATCTTATTTAATCACGTATTTATTGTAATTTACTAATCAATTGCTAAAGCGGATACTAAATACGTAGTATTATTTTGGCTATTTTTTTAACTTCAAATTTCTTTATTCTCATTTCTAAAAGCGATGGACAATCTGACTAATATGACTCCCGATTAAAAAATATAAATTAGCAAGGCTCATTTTAATAGACCCCTAAATTCTGTGGCCACAAACCCTCTTTAACAATTGATAATATTAAACATTTTTTCACATATAAAAGATTAGCCACATGAGTTGTATAAGATTTTTAAGGTAAACAATATATTTCAACCTCCGTGTTTGAAAAAAAAGTGAGGTATATTTTTTCCTCATTCTATGTATTGTTTTTTTAAAAAATATAAAGAACTACTCCCTCCGTCCCACTCTTTTTGTCCACTTTCATTTTTGCACACCATCCAATGCACTTCTTTAATCCATTTTATCTTGTAATTTGTATATTAAAAAATTATAAAAATTATATATTAATAATCTATATGTTAAGACAAATCAAACAAGATCACACATGACTATTTTTAGAGTTACACATTGAGAGAATTTGATGAGTCAAAGTGCTTAGATGAACAGTTCCAAAAGTCAAAACTGGACAAAAAGAGTGGGACGGAGGTAGTATATATATAGTGAAATGTTGTAATAATTTGATGTAATAAAAAATTTTCTTCATGTGAAATTTTTTTCTTATAACTAAATATATTGATTCTATTATTGAAAATTAAAGTATTACACAGTTGGCAATAGAATGTAACTACTGTGCTAATTTCATCCATGAAAAAAATGTCTCAATCTAAACTATTTAACATCAATAATGTTTAACTGTAGACGTATAATTGAATAAAAGTGTAAAATGAAAAAATGATGCTTAGATATAGGGTATTTTCATGTTCTTTTTTATCTAAGGTAGTAATAAATAATAAAAATATTTTTTGAGTATTTATAGTGGAAAATAGATCTCCTTATTAAAAAATAAGGGGAACACATTTCAAATGCAAAGTAATTTTTAGGGAAAATATCTCAAATATAAATGAACAAATTAGTCATGTTTTTAAGATAAGAATACTTTTGAAAAAACTTATTACAAAAAACAAATTTTGTGAAAAATCTCGAAATTCATTTGAGCAGAGAGTTCAGATGACTATTTGAGGAATACTCTTCACGAATTAATGTCTATTGATGAAATAACTTATAATTGAACACTTAATAAAGGAAAATTCCTTATTATTACTACCTCCATCTCATTTTAAATTGCATGTTTGCCTTTTTAATAACTTATAATTGAATACTTAATAAGTTGTCTATTAATTGTTTTTGCAAACTTTTAAGAGTATAATACTTAAACTACATCTAAAATAAGTCATTCTTTTTCATATTATCTTCTTATTCATCATCCCTCCTAAAAACTACTGACAATTTCAAAAAATCAACTCTATTTTTTATTTTCCTTAAATATGCCTAAAAGTCAAAACAGACGATTTAAAACGGGACGGAAGAAGTAACTTATATTTATGAAGTTTTACAAAATAAATTATACGAAGTTACGATGATGAATTAATAATATAAATTTTATTTGGCAATGTGAATCTACAATGACCTCTTTTAATAAGTACAATACATTTTTTCCCAATATATGTAATGCATCTTTTGAAAAAAAATTAGAAAGACGTTTATATAATAAAATGTTGTCATAATTTGATGTAATTTAAATTATTATTCATACAACCCCTACTTTATATCATAACTAAATATATTTTTCACATGATTGAAAATCAGAGTATTGCATAGCATGCAATTGAATGAAACTATTGTACTAATTTCATCCATAAAAAATGTCTTAAATTAAACTATTTATCAAATGAAATTATTTCTATTAGACGTATAATTAATAAAAGTGTAAATAAAAAATGATACTTAAATAGGGTTTATTTTCGCTATCTTTTTTATCGAAATTATTAATAAGTACTCAATTTTTTTGTACTTATAGTGGAAAATAGATCTCATTCATAAAAAAAATCTGGAAAACACGAGATAAAATATAAAAGACTAATTAGGAAACATATCTCAAATATAAAGGAATGCATTAGTCATGTTTTCATGATAAAATTACTTTTGGAAAATACCTTATTACAAAGAATGGATAGGGACCGTCAGATCCTGGATTACCATTTAAGTTTCAAAGAAGACAGTTTCCAATATCTTTATGTTTTGGAATGACAATCAATAAGAGTCAAGACCAAACATTATCATTTGTTGGATTATTCTTGACCAAATCGGTATTTACTCACGATCAACTTTATGTTGCAGTTTCACGAGTGAAAACTAAGAAACGATTGAAAGTGTTGGTTTTAGATGACAACGGTAACCCATGAAATTGCACGAAAAATATGGTTTACCCTGAAGTTTTCTAAAAAATTGGATTTAATTGATATGTTTATATGTTCTTTTCAATTTTTTATATACATGAATTTAAGTTAGCATACTCTGTTTATGTCGTATCTAACATTCTATATTATATTTACATTTATTTTTTTATTATTTACTTAAAACAAAAAATTAGCAGAGTTAAAAATAACATGCGTTCGACCCCGTGCGTTGCACGGGTTAAATACTAGTGTGTGTGTGTGTGTATATATATATATATACACACACACACACACTAGTATTTAACCCAAGACCACGATCGGTCTGATAACGATCTAACATTCCAGCAATGTAAGCAATATTTGAACGAGTACAGACACGCATACATAAGGCTTCCTACTACTGATGCATAAGGTATCATTCTCATCTGTTCTTTTTCCACCTCTGTTTTCGGACATTGAAATAAACCGAAACATCTCCCTTAACCACTGGAGTCATAGAAGGAGAGCAATGTTGCATGTTATAACGTGTAAGGATGCGCTCAATGTAGGCCTTTTGAGATAATCCCAAAATACCATTGACTCTATCTCGGTGTATTTCGATGCCAATAACATAAGAAGCCTCTCCAAGATCTTTTATGTCAAAATTACGCGAGAGTAAGTGCTTGAACTCAAGCAACATGTATAAACTATTACTTGCCAATAGAATGCCATCTACGTAAAGAAAAAGTATAGTAAAGGTGCTCCCACTCATCTTAAGGTAGGTGCATTGATCCACTTGGTTCTTTATGAAATCTTCTAACTTCAAGACTTGATGCAATTTTATGTACCATTGACGTGATGCCTGCTTCAACCTGTATATGGATTTATTTAGCTTACAGACTAGATGTTCTTGACCTTAAGATTTGAATCCTTTGGGTTGTTTCATGAAAACTTCTTCATCCAAATCGCCATTAAGGAAAGCGGTTTTGACATCCATTTGATATAACTCTAAATCAAAGTGAGCTACAAGGGTCATAACGATCTTTAAGGAATTGTTTTGAGAGACAGTAGAAAATGTCTCTTGATAGTCAATTCCCTCTTTCTGAGGGTAGCCCTTTGCAACCAATCTTGCTTTGTAGCATTCAATGTTTCCATTCGGGTCTAATTTTGTTTTGAAGGCTCATTTACATCCTACGGGTTTTAAACCATTGGGCAATTCAACCAAATCCCAAACATCAATTTTCTTAATGGAGTCTAGCTCTTCAATCATGACTTTATTCCATTCAGAAGACTGATCACTGTTAATGACTTCTTTATAAGAGGATCAGCAAACTTTCCAGCATCCATTTCTGCTTCAATCAAGTAGGTAACATAATCATCAAAGTTAGTAGGCCTTTTAGACCTAGATAGACGACCTCCTGAGCAAATTTTCGGATTGAGCATTGGCGATGTAACACCCCAATCCGTATAACCCGGAATTACACGAATTAAGGTGAAACGAGGGTTAAATAAAAATTTCGCTTGACATTTGAAAATGACAATTACTTATAAATGTTAAATTTATAGACTCTGGATCGCAACCCATTTAAAAATATTTTCAGAGTAATGCAGAAGTACAATAATAATCATCAAATCACGACACATTTTAAAATCTGATGATCAAACATTTGCCTGCCATCCTTGCATCTCCACTGACTCAATGCCCTCCGGGAATGGTTCCATCATTGTCTTCTTGTTACCTACGTGTAGTCAACGAAAAATACAAACTACACGCTTAGCGAAACCGCTGAGTGGTACCACGCTAGAATTGTAGAATGATTCACAGTACATATACATACATACATACATACATATATATATATATATGTCCATAAAATGTATAATAATATTCATAATATGGCACATTATATCATATAGACAATTTGATGAATCATGATGATAAATATTTAATGATAATTACATGATGGCACATTTAATTTAATCAATTTGATTGTTCTTGATGATGATTACATGATGCATAATTGATGTCACACATAGTCATGATGATTTTACTTGATGATGATTTTATGCTGTATGTTTCTAACGAGCAAGGACACCCTTGCGCTATGAGATTCGCCCATTTGGTACGACGAACTCACACGGTCTTAGTCTCACAAAGGAGACCAGAAAGATAGGGGTGGTACTCGAAGCCTGAATACCATGTACGTACACTAAGCCCAGATCGAACGGGTGATGTCGGACTAGTAAGTCCCGCACATCACGCTATAAGAGACGCAATTACGCATGATCTCTTACGCATGCATATGATATGATATGCTACAATATGTGTGATGATATGAGTCATATGATATGAACAATTTGTAAACAATATGAATGGATAAATATACTTTATTTTATTTGGGTGAAATCTGTTAAAAATATCATTTAATTAAGCTACGGGGCTCAGAACGGTTAACCGTTTGGCATGGCGGTCGACCTCGATCTTCATTTCGTTGGATTGGCAGAACACCGTGACGGTCGACCACGGTTGACCGGCGGTCGACCGTTGTTGACTGGATGGCGATGGTGGTTCTCGGCTGGGCAGGCGACGGTCAACCGTTAGCCACCGGCGGTCGACCGTTTTGCTGACAGTCGTGGTCCGTTTTGATGTTTAACGCGACGGTCGACCGTTTGGGTATGCGAATCTTACTCTTGATATTTTGAGTGTCCAAAAATACTTCTTTAAGTCTTTTAAACACCTTTGATTAATATATACATATTTTTGGGTTGATATCAAATGTTTATATATACTTATGTATATATATATATATATATATATATATATATATATATATTAACTTTATGGATTTGGTATATTTTGGTCTTAACACAAAGATGACTAATATATGTATCACATATTTATTTTGGGATGATTTCAACATATGGATTAACATATATGTTCATGTACGTATGTGATGAATGATTCGACAAGTCTAACGCAAAGGTACAGACCTAGAAATCATCGATCGAAACCTTACGGATGAGCAGGAGTGGAAACAACATCGAAATTCGCCAATTTTGTCATTCCCGTCACAATTGGACAGCCTGCGGTATTTTGAGCATATCTCCATCGTTTCTTCACGGAATCACAAACCGTTTGAGTCTATGGATTCCTAAGATGTAAGGCTACAACTTTTGTATAGAAAGTATTTTGAGATAATGAATTTTAAATAGCGTAAATTGGACCTGAAGTTAGGAGAAAGTTGCTGTCCAGAATTTTGAATACTTCGGTGAACAACGGTTCCGACGATTAACCCATTAACTTCAATATTCCAACACCGAACCTTCTCTACGATACCTTCCGGATGTTCCTAATAATTGTTAGAGAGTTTATGGTGAGTTCTTGGAATGAAACAATATGAATTTGGTGAAGAAAGTAGTCCAACCCGAGGAGGTTGCCACCACTGGCGCAGTCCTGGTATTTTGGCCATATCTTCTTTGTTACTTAACGAAATCGTGAACCGTTTGTTGGGCTGGATTCGTATCGTCCGGGGCTACAACTTTGGTTTAAGAAGTATTTCGAGATAATGGATGGAAAATTTCAGTTTTTACCTCAAAGTAGCTGCTGCGTTTTTGGAGTCAAGATTTGGAAATTTTGGATAGTTTTCTTGCTCCTTCTTCTTCTTCCTTATCATAGAACCATGAAATTTGGTGGGTTGGTTTTCCTCCTTCCTTGGCTGCCGACAGAGAGAGGATGGAGAGGAGATGAATTATGGATGGATGATGATGGTGTTTGATGATGATGATGGTAAATCATAAAGGAGGAGTATAATAATGAGAAAGGGATTTGGAGTTTTTATGTTAGTGGAGGGCTAGTGGATTCCTTAGGAGGGATAGGGTGGCTAGTGAAGTCACATACGTGATTGGGCATAGATTTGAGAATTTAAATTTTGGCTTCTTGCCAAAACTGAACAGTTTATTCCAAACGGTACGCGCTTTTTCGTCCAAACTCTTCCGAATTAAAAACGGATTATGTTTTTGGAATGAGACAGTCAAAACTAGAATTCTAACGTAATCAAAATATTTTTATGAGAACTTTTATTTTTTTCTTAATGTTCGGGTCTGTCTCAGTCATAAACAAATTTTATAATATGAATGAGATATAAATATATGAAATAAATCTAAATGACAAATATGGTGTTTTCAAGTGTCCAAGATTAATATTTCTAATCTTAGAAAATTACTTTTGAATTGAGTTTATTTTATGGGTCAAAGTTACAAATTTTAATATTTAAAATTGTCATAGCTTGAAATCTATAAATCAGATTGGTTCAATAAATGTACCGTTGGATTTGTCTCTTCGAGACATATCCATAAAAAATAAGTTTTTAAACAAAAAGTCATTATTTTGAAAATTCATTTATTTTTGGTCAAACGTAAAAATATTCTTTATTGGACAAAAACTACTTTTGTTTTATAATAAATTTTAGCCCATATTTTGTGGCGTTACAGGCGACATTATCTTGATGGTGATTATTTGAGGTGTCTTCATTTCCAGGTACATTTGGAGTAGGAGGTAGTGCATTGTCCTACAGATTGGCATTGAGTACAAGAGGAGTAAGTGGAGGTAAATTAATCGAAAAGTCTCTCCCACCCGCGTCTTGTACTTCTTGCAATTCGTCATAAGGGTTTTCACTGCTCCCACGGGCCTTAAAACCCTCAAGGAAATGAGCATTTTTGGTTTCTACAATGCGAGTGACATGGGAAGGACAATAAAATCTGTAACCCTTTGAGTGAGAAGGATAACCAATGAAGTAACAACTTTTATCTTAAATATTCAAATCTTTAAGAAAAAACCATAAAATATTCTATAAATTGAATGTTATTGAGTTCAAAGGTGCAATGCTTCCCTAAGATAATAAATTGAATTGCCGTCCCTTTTGTACTTTCCTATTTGAATTTTCATGGTTTTCAACACCACACTTAACCATCAATATCATCATTTATAGATAAATATACATTACTCCCTCCGTCCTAATTTATATTCCCTATTTTGGTTTATGATATTTGACTGAAATTATTTTCAAATTATCTTATTTGAAAAATGGTGTAGGATTAAAAAAAATAGAAATTACACATTAAAATATTAAATCAAAAGATCTACAAAACTAATGATGACATAACTATTTTATTTTATCAAATGACTATCAAAACAAGAGAGATAAAGTGAATGAAGTTTAACCATATGAATAGTAAACAAACAATTTAATTTTTAATTAAGAACAGGAGTACTCCATATAAAACGGGGAAGATTCAAAAGAGACAAAGAGAGTAATTGATAAGAAGAGAAGAAAGGTCTACCAAACAAACACTAACTAGTGATGTCCATAGTGAGCATGCCATTAACTGTTTGCTATGGTTGAAATGAACTCATGAGCTGTGTGGGAAATGCAAATCCAGCCTCTTCTTCTCTAAGGGTGTCTTTCCATCCAAATCTCTTTATAGCCTGTTTGGAAACTTAAAACTGGATTCCAAATTCAGATTTGACCAGAATTAAATGTTTGGGAAACCAAAAAAACAGAACGATTTGTATTTGGGCCAAATTCCTCTAGTTCCGAACAGAACTCAATTACAAATCCACTCTCTTCATGTAATTTGATCATTTCAAATCCAATAATTAAATCGAATTCCTGGTCTCCAAACACTATAATGAAAAGAAGTTTCATTGCAGGGATATAGCTTCTACTATCAAGTGCTCACCTCGCATGTATTAATCAGCCATCTGCATCGCCTGTTTCGGTTCCTGCCTCTGTTTCAACGTCACCTTCCATCTGCGGTAGTTCCACATCAGCTTCTATCTGTGGTGTTTCTGCATCAGCTTCCATTTGCCCAGCTTCCGGACCATCAGTTTCAGAGCTTTCCTTCTGGTTTTCATCTGGAGTTGGTGGTCCGCTTTGAGAAATGTTCCCAGCAGTATATGTGTCCATTGGAGCACTGGATGAGGTTTCCAGCTCAGGTCTACTTCCCTCAGCGCCTACCTCTCCAGCTGGTATTGTTGCCTAGGCAAAATAACGATAACTAATCAGAAACAGAATCAATTGACCAAGAAACCAAGAAACCGCAAGCTTTTTTGAGATGCAAAATAAAGTAAAACATGCTAGAGTAACACCAAGATGTTATTACCACCATAGATGACACCATCTGTAAATTTGTATCCACACGGATAATAATCGTCCGTGAACGTCTATGAACATACAGAGAATTACAGAGTTCACAAACGATTATCGTGTGTGTATGTACAAATTCACACACAATTGTCAAAGTGGTGTCAACCGTGGTGGGTTTCTAGCATGGCTCAAATAAACTTGTCTACTTCGCAGGTTCATGTATCGAACGGTAGATTTCATAGGGAATATTAATTTGAATTTGAGAACTTTGTCCACCTGATTTCCTTCTGCTTGTTGCACTGAAGTTTTTGTTTCCTCCTTGGCCCGCTTAGACTTGTCGATCGGTTTCCCTTGATATTTTGACCTTACCTCAGGAGGCAATAGTTCTATAGGTACGACACCCTCGATTCCATATTCTGTGAACTGCAATATTGGCAGAACATGCTTCATAAATTAGGTACAGATTCTCTCTCCCTCTCTAAACACACATGTGCACGCATACACATACACACTTCTTGGGAAAACAGTCATACTCGAGAAAATCCTTCCAGATCTTGTCTAGCAGAAAACCGGAGACCTTTCCAACAATAAACCTGCACCAGATGAGACAGGGAAGTGTGAGTTATTAACTGTTCGTGGTTTACATTTATAGCATTAACTTTTGGTTGGTTCGTTTTAGAAGTTTCTGCTACAGTTTCCCAGCCCTGCACAAGGGTTCACCTATGGCATTCTTTTTAGTTGCAAAATGCACCCAGAAAGCTGATAGGAAAAAGGAATATGAGGAAACTGACCCTATTATTTTTGTGATGATATTCGGCTTCAATTCCAGCAGAATCATCCATCTATAAGTTAACAAAGATATTTTCCGAGTACAATAGTACATGGATAAGAATAAAGTTTTTTAAATGGGATAAAAACAAATAGACAACATCATTATGTTTCACTAATAGGCATAGATCATAACTTACATCTTCAGCCAAGGGCTTCCAGTAGTCTAAGATGTCAGGAGTGCGCACACGTAGAGGATCAGTTAAAGCATTCTGTATGTTAAAGATTAGGTAAGCTTTGATCCTATATAATACTCCGTAATAAAACAGATTATCCTAAATCACAGAAAACATTCTTTTCCCCTGGAAATTCTGGTTTGTAAAGCTTAAATACAAAACAAACCGGATTCTGATCGGCCCATTTCCATAATTGAGAGAGTTCTTTATTTCCAAGCCTCCACCTCTGTCGGCTGAAGTATTAGCAGAAAGAACGGGGGAATAAATAGCAAATATTGGGAAATCGGAAGTATGTTGCAACATCTATTTGGCTGATTGGATGTTTAATCAAGGTTTGGAAACAACCGAACAATATGGTTGTATCCAACTACCAAACAAGAATGCAAAATCCTTGAGGTAAAGCACCCAGATATTTTCTTGGGCGGGGTTCAAATGAAATTTGTATGGTCCATTTGCGCTCCCTACGGTGCTCCGTTCGACCCTGATGTGATTCCCCCCCCCCCCCCCCCNCATCGTAAGGTGCCCAAAAGGACCAGGTGTCATACTATGACATGGGGATTCAATGTCATTTGAACCGCGTAGTGTTTTTTAGTGTCATTGTCATAATGCTATTAGGATATAATTATTAAAATGGTCAACACTCTTCACTACATGTCAATGGGTCCTCTAGAATTGCTAGTGTCAGTGTGTCACATAGTCTCATCTCAGTAGGTTTCACCAGCTAATACAATCTTGTAAAAAAAGATACAGTGAACCAAGTTCAATTTAGAATACCGTTTCTTTTGCACTCCTTGACCTAGCTTTTTCTCAATTTGTTGCTTTTCGAATGGAGGGCAACCATCACGTTTCCACCAAACCTTAAAAAAAGTTCACTTTTAATAAAGAACAGATATATAAAAACTACAAATTTAAATACAAGAGTAAATTCCACCCTCTATAATTAAGGATGTTCCACATTTAGTCCACTACTTTATGAAATTCCATTGGAGGTCCACATTAATTAGGACCATTTTTCAGTTTTAGTCCTCTATGTCATTAAATGCCAACTAAGGTCCTTAAAAATCTGGAAGATTGTGACTTTAAACCCTTCTTAGTGTATCATTTTGAGTAGCTTTGATGAAATGAGAACTACAATTGGCAATGCTCACAGTTAAAGTGGACCTCCAATGGAATGTCATACCGTAGGGGATTGAATATGGAATATCTCCAAATATAGAGGATCATTTGTGGAATTTAGTCTAAAGGCAACATCAGACATATATACATAAAACATGATAGAGAGATCAGTGTTGCAGCCTTGCAGAGGTAAAGAAGAGATCACTTTATGCTCACCCAGTTCCTTTCACGCTCTAGAATATGCTCTATGGACTGAAGAAATTCTTTTCCTTTAGGTGGAGTAATTTCAAGAAGTTTCTTCACCCGCTCTTCACAAGTCTTTATTTCTTCTTTCTACATTGGTCAAACATAAAAGTACACACACAAGATATATGAATCATCATCCCCACCACCTTAATCCTAACTATTTATGCTCACATACAACCTCATAGGGTTAAAAAGAACAATAAATTCAGAACTGTCTCTTTCATGGAGCAATAGATTAAACTCACTTGGAACATCTTTCACACCATAAAGGAGCACATTTTACAGTTTGCTGCTACCAGAATGTAAAGAGATAAAGAGAGTTCAATATATTTATATGCACAATACAGTTATAATATCCAATATATCAATATTTATAGCGGTTACTGGTTTCCTTGCAGTTTATTCATATCATTATTGTGATAGCCCACGTGAATGGCAAGAGAGCGTGGAATGAAATAATTACTTAAAGATAATAAATTATTTTTGAATGATATCAAGCTGCAATTTGATAATGATACGAACCATAACTTCAGATGGCAATTCTTTATCACTTTTCCCTGGAGCCTGCAAGGTAAGAGGGAGAAAAAAACTCGTAAGAGAATACATTTGAAAGATAAAAAGGTACAGTTTTTCATAGTTATAGTTTGTTAGAATATAAATAACTCTTCCTGGGCCACAACCACAAGCTTGAGCTTTTGGTTGAGTTGGTCCCTTGACATGGTATCGGAGCCTTGTTGGCTAAGAGGTCACGGGTTCGAAACTCAGCGCCACCCAGTTTTAAGAAATTTAAAGTTTCACGTGCAAGGCTCAAAAAAGACTACGCCTGCACGTGAGGGGGTGTGTTAGAATATAAATAACTCTTCCTGGGCCACAACCACAAGCTTGAGCTTTTGGTTGAGTTGGTTCCTTGACATAGTTGAATGACTTTTTGGGAACAGAAGAATAAGGATAAAGATTTTGAAACAGAACGCTGACAGAGCTTGTGTACATAACTACGTATTCCAGAGGAGTAGCACACTTTAGACAGAATTTAGAATGTAGCCACTAGTATGATTTCCACAATCAGACATCTTTAAATTTTAATGCAGGCATGCTCACACAACTTTGTAAGCTGCCACACTCCTCACTTGCATTCCTAATTTTGAAGAAACAGTTAAACTACCTCCATCCCAAAAAAGTCTTGTCTGAGTGAGGTAAACTTTTAACTTTTAGCCAGCTAAATCAAGGTGCAAGCTTTCACGAGTTATGGGTAGTCATTTGAACCCCTTAAACTATTTCCAAGTGTGTTTCGATTAATTAAATAACACCCTTTGCCACTTGTCTTACAGGAATTTTACATAAAAATGAATTTGACTTATAAAACCACTCCTTTTTTGGATTCAAAAATCTCGAAACATGGGCACTTTTGGCCATTTAGAGGATGAAGAGAGTACATTTCTTTCTCGTTGAAAATTGTTTCTGTCTAGACCTTAGTATACTACTATTTACTATCATATCTGAATACAAGGGTGTGCAAATCCATATGCACATAAAGACAATGTTTTCCATGGGATCAAATGCAGATGATTACCTTTAGATAATCAAACAAAATGAGGCATTGAACTAGAATGTGACGTCGGAAACTGGGATCCTTCAACTACGAAACAAAAGAAAGTAGTAAGAAAGATTTAGTGCTCTTCAAAAAAATTAGTTTTACAGGTTCAGAGATAGATTATTCACACCTCAAGACCCATCAGCTTACTGCTAGTAAGATATTTTATGTTGAATGCTGCTGCCTCATCCTCAAGGTAATTCGCATTTCCCTCTTCATCACTTATAGGCTGAGCCTCAAATGTATTAAGAACCACCTGAATATCCCAAATTTAAAATTGCATAAAAATCAAGTTACATTCCCCTACAAGGCCACCTCTAAAATTCAGAAACAACATTGATACCATTAAACTGGCAGTAAATTTATGCCACTTGGTGGGGGCAACAGATAGAGATGGCGGGTTGCAAAAGTACTCCTGAGTACCAAAGAAAACACATGCAAAGTAACTATACATCAGATATAAACCTGAAAAAATAAATGATGAAACATGGAGAAAACACTGTAAGCTCATGTAAAAAATATCCAATGTCCTCTTGAAAGCTTTCCAGATGGAACTAATGCAGAATGATCAAATCAAGCCGTGATGATGCCATGGAGCAATATAGATTTTATCCACTCTCATGCCAAGATTCGAGAGTCTCACCTGTAAACTCCAAAAGGTTTTGTAGAAGTTGAAATCAATTGAAAGACCTATAAATAAAACATATTGATACTATAAGCAAGGGGATCTCAAAAAACTAATAGACAATGAACAAATACAGCATCTACCTTCAGGAGGTTCTTTCTCATACTTTGTTTCATTTGATGTATTGAATACTCCCTTTATATTAACAGCTGCAATAGCACACAGAGGATAACAATCTCGGAAATGAAGAGAATAATTTTAAATCATACAACAAATCAAGAACATTAAAAGTACCAGAGCGCTCAGATAGTGGAAAAAAGTGTGCAAGGAACATGATGATTCTTCCACAGAACACAACATTTGCCTACAATAGCAGATGCTCAGGAAAATTGATTTATGCAGTGAATGGAGCTGGACAAGAAAACATAATGTAAAACATAGAGACAAAGATTTAGCACTTTACCTTTGACAGGCGACGGAGAAGTTGATTACACGTTCTTAACATCACAAGTTTTCCTCGTGCAAATAGTTCTGGCTACATAATGTAAGAAAGACACATAAGCCATTTAACAGAGTCACAGATGACATACATGTGCGTACACACACAAGAGAACACAATTCATGTGCAAAAAAAGGGATGAAAACTGAAATTTCACACACCTTTCCCAATACATCTTGTTTACTCTCAATGTACCCAAATATGTCTTCACAATTTCTCATTGTGGACATTTCTGTCAAATCTTCTAAAAGCTGAAATATCATACCACCTTCAATATGCTCTTTCTCAGAAAGATATAGCACAATGTCTGCCAGGAAAAATGCACTAGTAGTCAACTCTACATGTGTATGGAATTGCACATAACAGAGGGAATGATGTTTATGCTATATATTTCTCAAACAAGTTTATGGTATTGCAAATAAAAGAGGGGTGAACTTTCATGGGATGAGATAGGGCTGGGCCGACCCGGTTTTTTTGTTGGGACCGGTAAAACCTCGAGAGTACTCTGGTTCTAATTTTGGGACCGGAAGAAGGCCCAATATTTTCCGGTCGGTCCGGGTTACAACTATTGTGAATTCGTGCTGGGTTTGGGCCAGATCAATTAGAGCACAAAGAAGCTTTCACTATATTATTAATTTTTTATCTTTTCAAGAGAAAATCATGTTTTCACTCTTTACATTGATCTATTTACAAATAGAAAAAATTGCAATGTTTCACATTTTAATAACCAAATTCCAAAATAATTAGTCCTGATGTCTAAAGTCATACCATAAACAACCAAACATATATTGGCACAGAAAACATACAATTATTTTCAAGCAATTGAAAAGAATATAAGAAACAAGTTTGAAACTATGAATATCTTTCCAAGTACGCTTAATTAAATTTACTACACAAAATAACGTTATAGACATGTTGAGATGTTCCAATTAAATATTTTTTTGAACCAAATGCACATCATATTACTTCAACAGAATCACAAATGTTTATACCATAGTTATTAAAGGCGCTCGCCTCTCTCGCCTATGGCGCCTCAGGCGACCAGGCGAGCTCTTAGCGCCTCAAGGAAGCCAGGCGAGGCGAGATCCCTAAGGCGGTCGCCTTTCTCGCTTTTCTCGCCTCAATCACTGCCTCAAGGCTTTAAGATATACTCCATAATATATATATATATATATATATATATATATATATATATATATATTTCTCCATGTTTCCCACCGATGTTTTGAGCAGATTAATCCAACAACACAAGCTGGAAATACGTCATACTTTGAGACAAGCTAATCGAGTTGCTGACCTCTTGGCAAAGGAAGATAGAATTAAAAATATTGTTTTTATTGAATACAAATATGTTTCTAGTCTCCCTATTAATGTAAGATCTGCGCTTGCGCATGACTTTGTACCCTCCTTTCGTTTTGATTAATACAATTTTCATTGCCTTATATATATATATATATATATATATATATATATATATATATATATATATATATATATATATATAGTATCAATATTATGTGTTTATACATACATACGTATAGTAACATACTTTATACACACACACACACACACATACATATGTATGTATGTATGTATGTTCGCCATTTCACCGCCCGCCTCTCGCCATAAAAAAGGTCCTCTCGCCCGCCCCTCGCCCCTCGCCATTAATAACTATGGTTTATACACACAAATACTGCCTACACTTAATATCTCAATCTAAGCAACAAGAAACAAATGCAGTCAGCTCCTCCTCTTCTTTTGCCTTCCCATAGTTTAGGTTACAACCTGTGATATGATCCATTCAAAGACCTCTTCTGGTTTCAACATCTTCCGTTCGTGTACCAGCTTGTTCCTTACTATCCAGACCGTATAGCTGGTTGCAGCATAGGTACTGATCCATCTCTTCCTTCCCTTCTACTTGTTCAGGTTCATTATCTTACTCCTTATCTCAGCCACCTCATTTCCATCCATTCTCTGTTGCAACCAATCTGACACCCTCCCAAGGATTGTTCTCGTAAATGGGCACCTACAAAAGAGATGGTCAGCATCTTCTTCTCCCATATTACACAGTCCACAGCTCTTATCAATCTGCATAAACTTGCTTAATCTACCCTTTGTTTGTATCCTTGACAAATAAGCCACATTAAGAATTGGTGTTTTGGAATGGTTGCATTATTTCATACAAACTTATTCCAATCCGGATTGGTTCTCTGCCCAAGGAGCCAATTGTATCCCTCCTCTGTTTTATACCCATCCCCTTAAGGCATATGATCAAACCCCTTCTTGTTGTGTACAATCTTCTTCCAGTAATAACTAATAACATGTGTCCCCTCAAAGTACATAGCCCAGGCTATCTCCCTTCACATATCTTTCATGAATCCACTTGACCCATAGGTTATTCTTGTCATTTGCAACATCCCACCAGTAATTCATAATGAAGGCCAATTCCAAAGCACCGTGTTCCCTATCCCAGCCCCCCATATCTTTTAGGCAGACATACCTCATCCCAATTCACAAGGGGTCTTTTTCTGTATTCTGCCTTAGCCCCCCACAAAAAAATTCCTAAAGAGGCTTTGGACTTTCCTCATTACCTGGGTATGGATTATAAATAGTCTGCTCCAGAAAGTAATAATCCCTAGCAGCACACTATTAATTAATCTGCACCTTCCTGCATAAGACATGTGTTTGCTTACCCCGGAAGTTATTTTAGCTGTGATTTTCTCCACAAGTATATCGCACTCCTTCACACTCAGCCTAGCAGCAGTGATAGGGCTGCCCAGGTATCTTAGTGGTAATTCTCCCAGTGGAAAATTTGGTTTCTTTAGAAACCTGTCTTGACTCTTGATCCCTCTTACTGACCCCACCAAATATTACCTGAGACTTTGTGCAATTGATACTTAAACCAGTAGTTTTTTGAAAACTATCAAGTAATTCCAGAATGTAATCAATTGATTTCTCCTCAGCTTTACACACTATGATCAAGTCATCAGCAAAGTTCAAATTAATGATTTTTAATGATTTACACATGGAATGAAACTTGAAACCCTTTTCCTTTGCCATACTATGTAACAATCTGCTTAGGTATTCCATGATTAGTACAAAGAGTAAGGGGGATAAAGAGTCCCCTTGTCTCAACCCCTTCCCACCTTTAAAATAACCACAACTTTCCCCATTGAGTTGTACAGAAAATGCTATAGTGCTAATACAGTATTCAATCCAAGTAATAAACTGGTGAAGAAATTTCATCAAAATCATAATTTGTATGAGTGCCTTCCAACTAACTGTGTCATATGCTTTCCTGATGTCCAATTTCATTAAACATCTTGGTGATCTCCCTTTTCTACTATATCCCCTTGTGAGTTCATGGCAAAGTAGGAAATTATGTACCAAATTCCTCCCCTTCAAAAAAGCTCCTTGGTTATAGCTCACTATGTCAGGTAGGATTTCTTTTAACATTCTACACATAATCTTAGATATGGTTTAATAGACTACATTACAGCAAGAGATAGGTCTACAATCATTAGGGGTAGCAGGAGCTTCAACCTTTGAAATCATTGTTGAATGTATTTGCTTTAGGAACTTACCAAAAGAAAAGAAATCCAGGATAGCTATGCACACAAGTGATCCTACTACCTTCCACTGGCTTTTGAAGAATCCACTACTAAACCCATCTGGTCTTGGGCTTTTCCAGTTAGGGATTGCAAAGAGAGCCACTTTGATCTGTTGTTCATCAACATTTGCAATGAGGGAAAGCTGTTGCTCAATGGTTAGTTTAACCCCCTCTTCCATACTCTTTTCATCCACCTCTTCAGTCCAAGTAGTGGTAGCCAATCTCGCCCTTCCTCGGGCGTAGGCCCCTTGACCCGCTGCTCCGTGGCCTAACTGTTAATAGGCGCCAATCTCGCCCTCATTTATGTTGTCCATGTTAGATTTAATCGTATTGTTTAATTCCTGGCCATAAGTTAGTTAGTTTAGATTTAAATTTTAAAAATAAAAGGGACAGTTTTTGGGTAGTTATTTCTGGAAGTTATAGGTAGTTATTTCTAGAAGTTGTATTAGTTAGTAATAGATGTGTTGATTAGTACCAATAGTTGTGCTGGTTGCTGTCTATAAATACTCCAGGAACATAGAATTCCTATATGTAGTTCACAATAAAAAAATCAGAATTTTATTCTGCATTTCATTTGTTCTTCCTATCATTTTTCTAACAGTCCAGCGGTTTAGTGTGATTCTTGCTCCGTCATTAAGTCCCAAAAATGGCGGGGTAGGATAGTGCGATGGCTCTGTACGCGCCATTGCCTAGCGCTGTGTTTATCGAACAATCCCCTGAAATCTGGTCGTGTTAATCCGAGGAGTTAATCCCTCGGGCCGACTTCCGTAACGGCCATGCAAGAAAATGACCATGCCGCATATATGACTGGTCACTTTCGGGGAAGACATGACCGGTCATTTTCCCAAACATTCTGCACTACCTTGAACACAAATTAACTTGTTGACCGGTCAAAATTGATATGTCACTTGCCAACGGGTTCGAGCCGGGTATTAGCTATCAGACCGGGACAATCCGAGGAGTTATTCTTCACATCGTCTCCTGTAATGACCATAAATAAATATGACCATGCAAAACTATAACCATGCACCAAACATGACCGATCATCTCCCATGCAAACCATGCAATTGTGACCATGCAAATATGACTATGCACCAAACATGACCGGTCACATTTTGGGAAGACATGACCGGCCACTTCTCCCAGCGGTTACCACGTCTCTCTAAGCACTACTAAAATATTAACCGGTCATATTCTGACCCGTCACTTTTCAGGTATTCGAGTCGGGTATAAGTTATACCCATCAAGGAGTCCTCCACTTTTTGGCCTTGTGAGAATTATCAAGGGCAAAAAGTAATAAAAGTCATTTTCGTGCTAACCGGTCCTATTATTGATGACCGATTACTCCAGAGGGTGTTTCCCATGTTACTTGCGTGACCATATATATTTCATTTCAAGATTTGACCGGTCACGTCTTTTGAAGCATTATTGACCATTTTGGAGATGAAAAACTTGACCGATCATAACTCGTGACCATCCTTGTGTTCTGTGACCATGCCCTTTTTTGGTGATCATGATCATGACTTGTGGCCAAGCCCATTTTTTGTGACCAAGTACGTGTCTTGTGACTACATCCACTTTTGGTTGATATGCTCCTGACTTGTGACCATGCCTGTTTTTTGGTGATCACGCCCATGACTTGTGCTCATGCTTGGTGACCATGCTCATTTTTGGTGACCATGACCATGACCATGCCAAATGATTTTGAAAAAATATGGAAACTAGAGTGTAGAGGAAGAGGTAGACCTAAGAAGACTTGGCAAGAAGTGGTCAAGGGGGACCTTCGCATGAATGATCTCACAATAGATATGATACATGACATGATAGGGCACAATGGCATCATTTGATATATGTAGCCGACCCCACATAGTGGGATAAGGCTTTGTTGTTGTTGTTGTTGTTCTTGTATGGGAACTAGAGTGTGGAGACTGAGTCTATGTAACCGGAGGTAAAAGTTGAAAAGAACATGCCATGAATACCTTTGATGCAACTTTAACGTGAAGCAAAACAAGGAGGATGTTGAAGTCAGTCTTGGGGATAAGAGGATACTACAAAGAGACAGTTTCAAGTATTTTGTATATATCATCCAAATGGAGGGAGTGGTCGAGGATGACATCACACAACATTAAGGTACGATAGTTGAAGTGGGGGGCTGCCTCAAGAGTGCTACGTAATAAGAACTCACTGTTGATGTTGAAGGGTAAATTTTAAATTGTTGCCAATGCTATTCAACTACTGTTGTACATATATGAATGTTGGGCAATAAAGAAGAGGTACAGAAGCTGGAAGGTGCAGATGTTGCGGTCAATTTGTTGGTTTCGTTGTTGGACAGAAACACTGAATGTGGGCATTTCCTTCTGAGCCAGGGATGATGCCCATAACTATTAAAGTAAGAGAAGGAAGATTGTGATGGTTTGGTCACATTCGTCGTAGAGATACAACAGCACTAGTAAAGAGAGTAGATATTTTTTGGTTAAATAGACCGGGAGGAGAAGCACACGTCATAGAACATGGGATGAGCAGTTGAGATTGGTCTTGGCGGTCCTAACTCCTAAAACTCTCTGAGGACATAATCTCTTATAGGAATTCCTAGAGATGCCGTTTTAGAGTTGTAGGGCCTTTGTAGGGGCTGTGTGTGGTTGCTGTTGCCATTATGTTCATGTGTCTGTTTTTCACTCATATTAAATGTCACTGTTAGCAAGAGGTTTTCTCAGAAACAGCCTTTCTACCCCTTTTGGTAGACGTAAGGTTTGTGTACATCTTGCTCCCCACAGGCCCTACTCTTGAGTCAGATATACTAGGTTTGTTTAGTTTGGTTTTGTTAATAACAGGCACGGAGTATAATATCAGTACAAGAATAAATGTGAATCTTACCCAGAAGGCGTGGAATTTGACCGTGCACAGTTTCATCTTCATCAATTGATTGCCCATACAGCATGATTTTCTGCCCTGACTGTACTGCAGAAGTCTGCATTGAGAAATAAATACTTGCCATTTTTAGAAATCAGAATGGTCTACCATCAAATAATCAGAAAAGAAGAGAAACAGAGACAGTCCCACGCTTAGGAGAGCAGGAAAATAGGATAATGAATTTTTATGTTCCTGAAAAATTGGAAACTGATAGAACTTGTTGGCTATTACCATTGCTTCAGAATTTCTTGTAGTGTGAAAATTGGAAAATTGGAAAATGGGAAAATGGTACTGTTAATTCTAGTTCATGTTTCGCAGATCGCAAGGATTGGGAAACTTGATGTGTGCGGAAAATTTTGGAAAATCCAAATGGTAACATTGGCAAAGACTTGAAAAAAATACCTACCACTAATTCTTGGAGTAAGGACCTCAGAATATTCTCCAGAAGCTGATTCTCATCCTGGACTAACTTGGTTTGCCTCTGTCAAGTGGCGAAGGAAAATAAATAAATCATCATACCTAGAGAACAAAAGATTCTAGTGGGAACACAGTGTACTTAATGCAAACAAGGAAATCATGCATATTTCCCTGCAGTGTGTAAACTCTACACATAAACGATACAACCAAGAGGCCAAAAGTAATGCCAGTCTTTCAAAATATTGATCTGAGTTGGTACATATCAGCCCTCAAATTGAGGACAAAATAAAGGGAAAATCATGGGGGTTGCTCATTGCATAATATCATTATACAACTGGACTTATATAAGGATAAATTCATAGGGAACTATAGTTTTAGGAGTCCTCCATCAAACTCCGACTATCAGCATGTGACACTAGCACTTTAAAAACGAAATGATTCACTTCCATCCCAAAATGTCAGTAAGCAAATGAAGCGTATGCTAGAATAACTTCACAGACCTGAGGTTTTATAGCTTCTTGCACTGTCTGGAGAGCAAATTCTTCCGGGGATCCCCGCCGAAGAATGGCCTTCCTAAACAAATCCTGCGGTGAAATAGCAAAAGGGTTAATGAATCACTCAACAGAAGCAGAAAATGGAATATAAATTCAATTTAAAAATTCATATTTGTGAGTCTAGGTATTCGAAAGAGAAGAGATCAGGCACTTGCAACAGTTCAAGTTTCAACATCGCCAATCACAATTAGGAAATTTCTTCTTACCATACGAAAGAGTCTTCTGAACTCAGAGAAGGCCTCTTCGACAAGAAGAAGAAGAAGAAGAAGAGATGCGATGAAGAACGGGTTGCGTGGTGATCGGCAGCGGTGATTGGTTTTTGCAGTAGCGGCAAGTCGGTGGTCAGCTGGTAGGGGCGCCGGTAGTCTGAAGAAGATGAAGACTATCTACATTGACAGTACTCCGATTCTCCTACTATTTCAAAATGAGATACGGAGTATTTATATAAGGTAGTTTGCACACTAAAATCTCCAATTTCAATTTATTTTTAGTACTATCAAATTCTAAATTTATGTATTTTTGTGTTATCAAATAATAAAAATTAAAATTTTTATCCATAATTCCAATTTGTGAGTTTGAATTCTATGTTCCAAAGAGAGATTAATTGTAAATTTGTAATGATATTATAGAGTATTTGTTTTATGAAAATATGTATTGTATTTGGTGTAAATGAACATTTGATAGGATATAGGACGAGAGAAAAAAATATTCAAAATAAATATTTTCTTACTTAAAAATAAGTATTAGTGACTTATATTTAAAACTAAACACAAAGTCATATCCCTTCTCATTCTTTAGGGTTCTTTAGGAAAATGGCATCAGCTAAGTAAATTTATATGACATCTTGTTGAGAAGTACAATATCATTCCTTTTCCAATAATTATTTTAGCCAACGTTAAAAATATTTTTTATATGTAATGATGATTTGTAAGGCATAAGTTACAATTAATCATATTCTAAAAAAGTTAGATTGTATTATAATATACTACTCCATTAATCATTTATGGAGTAGTCACTACAAGAAATTTGGTGTTTGGCCGCACTTAAAATGGTGGTTCGCCACACTTATAAATGTGGAAAAAACACTTTGCCACACATGACCTAAGTGCGGCTACCTAATTGTGGGCAATTTTTAGCCGCACTTTTAGATAAGTGTGGCTAATTAATATTTTACCAACACTTAATATGTGCGGGTAATAATTTTTTTTGCAACACTTACATGTGTTGGGAAGGCACCACACATATAAGTGTCGCAAATATCAATTTTAAAAAATAAAAAAAAAACTATATGCACACAAATAAGTGTGGCAAATGATCGACCAAGTAACTAACTTTTATATCAATTCCAACTATATATATATATATATATATATATATATATATATATATATATATAGTACTCCAAAATCATTAATTATAATAATAATCATTCTTTGAATGTATAGGCAACCTTTGATTAATATCCAAATACTAACATCTAACAATAAAGTCATTCAAATACTAATTAACATCTAACAATAAAGACATTGCAATTTTATAAATATATCCAAATGTATCTAAAATGAAGATAAGAAACAAATTAATGTGTGCATAGTGATCCGCAGAGCTAGCTAGCTAGGTTGACACCATCACTTTAAGCTTCGAACAACAATCATTGCCCCTTTTTCGTGCCAATATCCTTCTTTGATTGGCATTGCACCTATAGGTCCCAAACGAATTGTTGCGTTAATTTTTCATCATATTGTAAAAACCAATGTAAAAGAGATGCCTAAAATCATATCATGAAAAATAAAGTATAAAATCATATTTACATGTCCTTATTTTACAATTGGTTCTCAAAGAGACAAAAAAAAAACAAAGTAACAAGGTCATCATCTATATGTAAGTCACTTACATGTGTTGTTTCCTCCAGCTTGTCACGAAGGACAACATTTAACAAATTTTTTTCAGCCTTATTCTTACACAAACTAGCAGCCTGCAAGCATTGATGACAATATTTATATCTTAAAAAATAAAGATTTTTATAAACTTAACGATAATTATTTCACTTTAATTCATACCACTCCCTCTAAGTAGGCAACACTAAGTTCTTTCTTTGTAAAAGATTGGTACATTTGAACTTCTTGAGGGTGAAGTTTCAGCACTGTATCCACCAATAACTCAATTTGAACACGAGATAGTTGGCCCTACAAACAAATAAAATGACGACAGAGTGGGTGGTTAAGCCTTATGATATTGACCATATGTATATTGTATAGAGCTGAAACACGGATCGTAAAATATCCCTAATACCATGCCACAAATTCGACAGAGTGGGTGGTTAAGCACCACCACCACATTTTACGACTAAGCCGGAAAGAAGAAAGGCAGACTCCATCAATCAAGGGAAATGGCTTTCAGTTCTGACTAAATTCCTGGACCCGAAGAATGGATATCATTCTCCCAATCATTCTTTTTATGATATAAAAGTTTGACAACATGCAAACCACTTTGACAGTAAACCACTTTGACAACATTGACTGGTAAACCACTTTGACAGTAAGCCTACCATTCTCCATGCCATTGACAGTAAACCACTTTGACAACATGCATTGGCTTTAGCTTAGTGACATATATAAGACAACACAGATTCTATTCACGATAGAGTGATACACTAGAAACAAGAATAGCCACCTGAACGTAATTAACCAACATCCAAATTTTAGTAGATAAATTCAACTCACATGAAGTACGTTTTTTTGCATAGAAATTTTCTGTTTTTCTGTAGCTCTTTCCTGAGTAGATGCATTAGGAGGCATTGGAGTACAAGTACCATAATCACCGTCTTCCTTGGTCGTTCCATCAAAAATACTCTGATATCAAATAACACAAATATATTTTACAATATCACATGTGATATAATTTAGGGTACGGAATGTGATTCATAATTTAAAGAGCAAAGATTGATATAACTTAGAGAATAAAACTAAGTATGGCTCCCTAATATAACTTAGTGATTCATAATATATATTATACATGTGTGTGTGTGTTCAAAATAAAGTTATTAGTCTTTTTAAGTATGGCTCCCTAATGTTTTTAACTAGATGTTATATTTTAATTCTACTTTCTATATTCTAAATTCTATGTGAACCTAACTTCTATATACAAATTAACAAATACCCAGAGTTTACATTTGATCAGCCCTTGTCTAAACTGTGTTCGTCTTTATCTAATCTTGTTATTGATGAGGTGCCAACTATAAACCAAATTAGTTCTGTTGTCCTACACACAGATATGTGGGTCTTGGCATACTGGTGGTCATTCTTAACACTTTTGGATTTTGGTTAGTAGCTTTTTCCTTTTTGTGTTTGGGGCCTCCCTTCTTCTGAACAATATGCAGGTACCTAGGCAATAGATAAGTGTTATTTGCCAGACCTTAAGCTTTCTCTTAGGATGTGTTTTGAAGCTTTTCTAGTCAGCCTGAATTATGACTTTGAAGCTTTGCTCATTTACCTACACAGCATAAAACTAGAGTCTTGATTTTTCTTTAATGTTTGGGAACCTCACAGTAAACCTGTCTGTTTGTGTTTTCTCATTTGAAACCTTGAAGGTCAAGCTGGCCTAACAGATGAAACAACCTCATTAATTAGCTTAATGAGTACCAGCAGAAAATAACAGCCCTTATTTTGGCATAACCCATGTGCTTCCAATGCTACTCTCCAGTCTCAATTGTTCAAGATTCTCATTCAGCCATTCCCTAGCTTGACTAAATGTCATCCGTAGATAGCACACACCAACAGTCTCTTAGATCCTATGTGAATATCATTCTAAATTCTCCGAACCGTTTAAATATAACGAGACAAGACGTGGGACAACCTAACATCTAGACCATCTTGATCCATGCCCACCCCTAAAACAAACCCTAATTGAAAAATCAACTATTCAATACTGCTTTTTGGATATAGAAGCATACCCCAATGCATAGATTTAGGAACAACAACTTTAACAGACACTAATTTCTAGATAATAATCAGAAAGATGTAACTTTACAATATTGAATAGCATTTTATCCTCTCATATTGTCATATATTAAATTAAAGTATTATACCACAAAACCAATCTAATTTCAAGAGATAAAAGGGTTAAGAAAAATAGCCTTATTTTCTAAACAACATTCAGAATAGAGACAGCAAAGAGTTCAGAATAGATTCTCTAGCAACAGCAAAAAAAAACAATAGTGTATCAGTTCCCACTTTATTCTTTTGCTAACCCCAAAACCCAACATTGTTAGCCCTTCTCCCCCTCCTGCCCTCGACTTTATTCACTCCTTTCCGTTTCTCCTCTGCATAAAGAATGAAAGGGTATAATACCTGAATGAATGAAGGGGGCCGAACGATTGTGAAGAGGAACGATGATGATATGAACAGTTGAATCTGGCCGAACGATTGAGAAGACGAAAGGGATAGCAGTTTAGAAATCAGTTGAGCAGCCCAACACAAATCATCAACTGCACTCAAAAAGAAACTGAATCACTGCTTTTAGATACCATTAATCAATTCAAGGTTAATTAACCCTTAAAATTTTGGAATTATTTTCAGTTAAACCTGAAAAATAGCATAAAAAATTCAGAATGAAGAATGTTTTCAAAATAATGACGTAAATCTGAAAAGTAATGGCAAATTTTAGTTCAAAAGCATGATATCATGAAACAATCCAAATAAAATGAAGTATTCACATACGAATTTAAGCCAGAAGCAGCAAGAACAAAGGGTTCATACTGAAACATGATTGAAATCAAATTGAATGGAAGTAATAGTAAGGAAGGGGGGACTTATTCGATACCTGCGATTGCTTGTCTGCTGATATGAACGAATGAATCTGGCAAAACAATTGTGAATGAGGTACGCAGTCCAGCTTCTTCGAGAAATCGGGATGTGGGAGAATTGTGCGGTCACTCAATAAGGTCGTCGGTGATGAGGAGAACAGGATGGGGGAGAATTTAGGCGCTGGAATGAATTCACTCGATTAATTTAATTTAGCCGCTGGAATGAATTCACTCGATGAATTTAGGCGCTCGAGTGAAAAAGTGTGCGCTAATAATTCTGTGAATTCCTTCCGGGTAAATTTCAGTAACTAAACTTCTGGAATTTCGAAGTAGTACCTGAACTTCAAATTCTTTCACAAAAATCCCTGAACTTACACAACCCTTTCACTAATGAGCCATTAGCCCGTTTATAGGTTAACTTCCGGTCATTAGGGCCAAATTCGAATTTTATATATTTTAAAATTTTCAATTTGACCCCATTTCTTCTTTTCTTTTCTTCCAGACCCCGCCGCCGCCGCCCGCCGGTCAAAGTCGCCGGAAAATGAACTTTTTCCGATTCCGGCGGGACCAATGTCATTCTCTTCGTCTTGAGACGAGGATCAATAATATCCAAACCATTTTGTCTAATTTTGCCTGTAACTTCTCGAATCTGAATTTTTCTACTCGAAAAAACCTTAAAATTCGAAATTGGGTCTAAAATTAGGAGTTTTGCAAATCGTCATCAAATCTTGCAATTGAAGGGTCCTTGGAGGTCGCCCGGATGCCACGACCACATTGGAGTTGGTGCCCGCCGTCAATTTCGCCGGAGTTGGCCGGAAAACGCTC